CATCCCACGACAAGCACTACCTCAGAATCTACCACACGTACTACAACAGGACCAACCACCAGTACCACCACTCATCCAACCACCAGCACCACCACTCAGCCAACCACCAGTACCACTACCACTACCACCAAGACCGAACACCATCACCCAACTACCACCAAGACCGAACACCATCACCCATCCACCACAGAGACCGAACACCATCACCCACCCACCACTGAGAACAAAGACCATCACCCACACACCACAGAGAACAAACACCATCACCCAACCACCACAGAGATCAACCCTCCTCCCACAACCACCACAGAGACCAAACCCACTGAATGCAAAACATTCACCATCTGCGACACTCAAGTCTACAAAGCAACAGACAAATGGGACACGCAGGCCTGGTCCAAGCCCACCCAATTGTAATGACCCCACACCTAATCTTCGACCAATACATCTCCCCCAGGGGAGCTGGAGCTGCAGTCTATCAACTAGGCTCTACGCTCTGAGATTCAGTTGGAGACGGTGCGCACACCGTGGAGGATATCATGCACGCAAGGAAGGAAGTTTTAATGGGTGAGATCAGATCTCTTGGAATCGGGGGAGCATTCAACATGCTGTGTCTGGAAAAAAAAAATTCTTTCGTTCTACTGTTTCGTGATGTTTCTATCTTCGTCCTGTTCCTTAATGTCTAATATGAACGATCTCTTGCCTGACCAGCTGGGACAGAAGATCACATGTCACGAACGGGGGATCACCCAGTAAATACCGTAGGGATCGACGATGAGATCATCTGACTCGGCGAGAGCTATGAGATGTCCGCCGGATGGAGGGCTTAGTTAATGTCTGTGGTAGGGTAAACTAGGGTAAAACAATAGGAATCTGTCCATAAAGCACCAATTGGATGTCGGGGGGTACCTGGAACTCCCCGTAATAGGCTTTTTATCTTTCCGTGGGGACGAAGTTCGACTGATATATACGTTTCGAACGAATAAAAGCCCTTAACGAAGATGATGATGACGTGCCCGATCAAGCCGGCCTGGGCCGTAGGACAGCGATCTGTAGCCCTAATAGGATCGGTGCCGTGGTCGGCACTGTGATTTTCAAGGACACCCACCATCCTAGAATCAATTCTCCTGATGGGTCGTTCTGCAGCTTAGTAGGAGGTTCATCTTTAGAGACGTGATGAGTACTCACTGCGAGCATATTTCCAGCTTCCCTCGAGGCATCCCCAAGACAGTCATCGCAAAGTAGAAGCCAAAAGATAGACATGCACCTCAATTAACCCTATAGACTATATAACCGACCCCCCACGAATCCTCAACACAAACCCATCTCCCCAATCGCCTCCTTCGAAACCAGCCACCGATCAATAAATATACCGGAAATGCAAATTCTCGCGATCCGTCCGATCCTCAAATGCACGCGCCAAATGATCCTCCCCCTCCGCCGACCCATCCAGCCGCACCCCGTTCTCCCGCAACAACCGCTCCTTCTTCCTATTCTGCGCGATCAAGTAGAAGCGCAGGTAGATGACAGCCAGCGTCATCGCCGAGTAGCAGCCCAGGTGCACGCCAAAGGCGATGAAGTATCTAGGAGCGTCGCGGGTGAGGAAGACTTGCGGTCCTGTTTCATTCTCCAATCAGTTGAGCCCTAAAAAAAAGGGGGGGGGGGAGAAGACGGACCGATGGCATTGCCCACCGCCCACGAAACAAAGGTCGCCGCGACGACGGTGGATTTCTTGGTGGCGCCGGCGATGTTGCGCGTGACCATGGACAGACACAGGTTCTGGGCGGACCAGAATGACAAGGTGATGTAGTAGCTGATGAGGAGGCCGACTTTGGTGCCGAGGCTGTGGCTTTGGACGGTCATGAGGACGATGGTGCCGATGAAGGAGCTATCCACATCCATCCCATATGGTAGAGCATCAGTTATCCGTCGTTCAACCACACCACTTGCATTAATCGCGTGATCTGCCCCGACCACAAGAAGAGGGGGACATACGGAACAATAAACCCCAACATCACCAAAGTATTCTGCTGGAACCGCTTCACCAAATACGCACTGGTCAACAGCACAAAGATGATATAAAACCCCAGCACCATCGCCAGCAACTGCGTCTGCAGCTCGGTGAAATCAAACCCCGTGATAATGATGTTGGCGAACGCCCCCAGCCCGCTCGTCGGCAACGTCGTAAACACCTGGATGGCGCAGTAGCAGTACATCTGCGGATCCTGAAAGGCCTCCCACATCTGGTCCGCGCGGAAGGTCTTGTTCTGCAGCCCGGTCTGGTTGGCGCGCACGCGCTCCACCATGCGGTGCTTGTCTTCCTCGTCGAAGCACTTGGCTTTCATGGGGGAGTCGGGCATCCACCACAACACAAAGAAGCCCCAGAGGATGGAGATGCAGCCGTAGGTCAGGAACAGCGCTTGCCAGGATTTCAGGGCGGTGGGGCCGTGGCGGCCGATCAGGCTGAAGCAGTAGGCAAGCAATCCGCCGACGATTTGTTGGCCCCCGTTCATCATGTACCTTGTTTGAGTCTGTCTGTCAGTACTAATCCTGACTTTCCAGAAAGAGAGAGGAGAGTGTACCAGTAAGTCACAGTCGCAGCCTGCTCCTCCCGCTTATACCACATACTGGACAGCAGCACAAACGAGGGCTGACAGGCGGCCTCGAAGATCCCCAGCAGCGTGCGCACCGTCACCAGCCCGGCAAAGTTCTTGCACGCCGCGTGCAGTGCCAGGGTCATGCCCCAGAGGACGATATTAATGCCCAGGTACTTGGCAATGCGCACGCGCTGAATGATCCAGTTGGTGGGGTACTCGACGACGAGGACGGCGATGTAGATACACGTAGTGAGCCAGGAGTACTGGCGGCAACGCAGCTGTCAGTATTGCCCCCGTCTCATCTCATCAAGAAGGCTGGCTGCCAGGCGGGGAAATGGGAAGTACTGGACTCACCTGCTGCCCCACCAGCCCCGCATCCTCCCGGATCCCCATAATCGAGGCAAACGACATCGTCCCCTTGTCCAGCGCCTGCAGGAAGTACGTCAGAATCATCACCACCAGCACGCGGCGGTCGATCATGCGTCGCAGCCGTCGGCTGGTCGCCTCGTCGACCTCGACCCGGCCGCGCGCCGCGTAGGCCTGGATCTCCTCATCGACGCGGGCGGCGTCGACGCCTTCTTTTAGGTCGGTGGGGGACAGCACCCGCTCGACGTGGGCGGTGGCGTGCGCGGGTTTGTTGTCGTCGGTGGTGGGGTTGCCATGTCCGGGGGACAGATTCTCGGTGATATTCTCCGCCATGGTGAGATGATGCAGAGGAGAGGGGGTGGGAAGGTTAGAGGCTGTTCAACAACAGACAGAGCCGTCTTATATTGTTTGCAAGGGTAATGTGACCCTCCATCTGGTTTCCGATCTTGGTCATTCTTTCGCGGGGGAGGGATTTCACGCCAATGGAAATACAGCTGGTGGGGAGGCAAGTACCGGTGTTGGTCTGGTTGATCAGTTGATGCATCTCGCTTAGGATTTCATGGGATGATGCCGTGGGGATGGGGGTTTTTTCCCCGTGGAGAAGACGCGGGGGCGGGTCAAGCTGACGGTCACTGGCCAGTGGAAATATAGTATGTATTACCCGGTGGGTTAACCGGGGGGGAAGGCATTAACCCGAAAACGCGGGGAAAATGTCTTGGACAGGGAAAAGTTGAGGAGGGGGTTGCAACAGGCCAAGTTTTCGGCAGATTGCAGCCCGAGCAGTACTTGAGTGTCAAGTTAAGTTACTTGTACTCAATTGTCTGCCTGCTCTTCTTGCTTTAATCGTGACCATCTACCCAGCTACTTCTCAAAAACAACTCACTTAACTTACTCCCACGACAAAACAAAATGACCCCCCCACCCCCCATCCCACCCCCCCAAATCCGGGAGAAAATCGACCTCCTCATCACCAACCTGATCAACATCCACGACTCCACCGGCCAGTTCCTCCTCCACCTGCCCGACGGACGCATCATCGACACCAAATCCTGGCACGGCTGGGAATGGACGCACGGGATCGGCCTGTACGGGATCTGGAAATACTACGAACTCACGGGCTCCGCGACCCATCTGCAAACGATCCGGGAGTGGTTCGCCGCGCGCTTCGCCGAGGGGGGCACCACCAAGAACATCAACACGATGGCCGTCTTCCTGACCCTCGCCCACCTCTACGAGACCACCCGCGACATCACCTACCTCCCCTGGCTGGACGCGTGGGCCGAGTGGGCGATGCACGAGCTCCCGCGCACCCAGCACGGGGGCATGCAGCATATCACCTACCTGACGGAAAACCCCCAGCAAATGTGGGATGATACCTTGATGATGACCGTCCTGCCCCTAGCCAAGATCGGGCGCTTGCTGGGCCGCCCGGCGTATGTGGAGGAGGCGAAGCGGCAGTGTTTGTTGCATCTGCAGTATCTGTTTGATGCACGCTCCGGCTTGTTTTTTCATGGGTGGCAGTTCACCCCGTCTGACGACAACAACAACAACGGCAATCAGCAGGGGCATCATTTTGCGGAGGCCCGCTGGGCGAGAGGGAATAGCTGGATCACGATGGTGATTCCCGAGATCGTGGAGTTGTTGGAGTTGGATGCTACCGATCCCATTCGCGTGCATCTGCTGAGTGTGTTGGAGGCGCAGTGTGCGGCCCTCCGCCGATTGCAGGAGGCGGACGGCTTCTGGCATACCCTGCTGGATGTCAAGGATTCCTATGTCGAGGCCTCGGCCACCGCCGGGTTCGCCTATGGGATGTTGAAGGCGGTGCGCAAGCGGTACCTGCCCCAAGAGTATCGGGCGGTGGCGGAGCGCGCGATTCAGGCGGTGGTGGGCGCGGTGGATGCGCAGGGCGAGTTGCAAAACACCAGTTTTGGCACGGGGATGGGCGATTCTTTGCAGTTTTACAAGGAGATTCCGCTCACGGCGATGCCGTATGGGCAGGCGATGGCGATTATGGCCTTAGGGGAGTATCTCCGTGGGAGGGTGTATTAGAGATAGAATGTTAGAATTCATAGATAGATCATTGGTATCGACTGCGTGCATCGCATGGAGTACTAGGCATCGTAATTTTGCTCAACCAGCTACTGTAACACTACAACTGACTCTTCAACCACAGGGTCTGGGAATTACACCACCCCAACAACCCATGCACCCCCCACTCCGTCCCGATCCCACTGCCCTTGTGCCCCCCAAACGGCACATGCGGCGCGACATCGAAATGCGAATTCACCCAGACAGACCCCGCCTGCAGCTGATCGACAAGCCCCCGTGCGCGCTCCATATCCCGGGTCCACACTGAGGCGCTCAGCGCGTAGTCCGACGCATTGGCGCGCGCGATCACATCCGCCTCGTCTGACCATTTCATGAGCGGCAAGATCGGCGCAAAGGGCTCCTCCTGCACGACGCGCGAGTCCTCCGGCGGGTTATCCACCAGGGTCGGCGGGATGAAGTACCCTTCGCCCAGGTGCGCGGGCAGCTCGCCGGCGGTGATGGTCTGCAGTCCGGCGGCCTGCGTAGCTTTCAGGAGGTGGGTGGCCTTGTCGAACTGCATGCGGTTCTGGACCGGACCAAAAAAGGTGTCGGGCTGGGTGCCGTCGCCGACCTGGAGGTTGCGCACGAAGGCGGCGAGTTTGTCGCGGAAGACGTCGTAGATCTTCTCGTGGACGTACAGACGCTTGATCGTCATGCAGATCTGCGAGGAGCAAAGGAAGGCGATGATGCCGATCTGGGTGGGGGTTGGGTTTATGTTAACACCGAACCAGACAACACAATTCAACCAAGATCCAGCTTTTCACGGGAGCAGAGTCCACTGAGACATGATGAGACACCCCCCCCCCACCACAGCATCACCAAGAACCGGAAAATGACCACCCCACCAGAAGTAGAAACTAACACAAGAAAAACCGGGAAAAAAAACATACCTTCTGCACGACAGCATCCACATCAACATCCTCACACACAATGGCCGCATCATTCCCCCCCAATTCCAAGGTCACCCTCTTCAACCCCTTCGCACACGCCTCCATGACTTTTTTTCCCGTGACACTCGACCCAGTAAAACTCACCTTCTGCACCCCGGGATGCGCCGTGATCCACGGGCCCAGCTCCTCCCCGCCACTCAGCACCTGCACCACCCCGGGCGGGAAACACCGCGCCGCCAACTCCCCCAACTTCAACGCACAGTACGGCGTATAGGGACTCGGCTTCACAATCACCGTATTCCCCGCAAACACCGCGGGAACGATCTTGCCCACCGCCAGCAACACGGGGAAATTCCAGGGGACGATGGCAGCGCACACCCCGATGGGCACGTAGCGCTGCACGATCTGGCGCTCCGGCGTGTCTTCGATGATGGTCGTCGGCAGGTGCAGCGTCGGGATCTGCCGCGTCCAGGTGATCGCCATCTCGACTTCGATCTGCGCTTGACTGAGCGGTTTGCCCTGCTCTTGGGTCAGGAGTGCCGTCAACGTCTGCTTGTGGGTTTCGAGGAGCGAAGCAAAGGTTTCGAGGAGGGCCTTGCGGGAGGGAAGGGATGTGCGCGACCAGCTGGGGAAGGCGGTTTGCGCCGCGGTTACCGCGCGGTTGAGGTCGTCCGGGCTGGCATGTGGGACTTTGGGATTGGGGAGACCCGTGGTGGGGTTGATGCTGTGTCGGGTTTGGGGGCTGGTGAGGAGTTCGTTGTTGATGATGTTGTAAAAGTTCTGTAGGGAGGTGAGTTAATGGTGAGAGAAAGGAATTGAATGGGGATGGGATGATGGGGAAGGGGCGGTACGGTGATGTTGAGCGCCATGTTTGACGACTCGCGGTTAGCTACTGTAGTACTAGTATGATTGCTCTGACAGTATGCAGAGGGTGTTGTAGTACTGAGTACGAAAATATCTCGAAAGGAACCGGGGCACACACGGGATTTATATAGATAACCTCGGCAAGTGATTGCACAGCCCGCTCCTGCTCGTACACAACTAATTCTTCGGGTCCAAGAAAAAGGATCTACTAGTAAGCCGTGTTGGGACGTGTACTATCGACTTGAGGCTGGCAAATGGTACTTTTCCACTCCGCCATCATTGGATGCAGGTCCCGCATTGACTTTTGGCGATCGGCCGGTGCGGGGAAGTTCTTCATCTTTTGCGGCTGAGAGGTGGGGCCTGCGAGCCGGGGGGGAAAGACAAAGTAAAGACACAGATATGGAATATGTATGGGGAATTGGTAGTTATTCAGGTTTCACAGTGGTTCCACTTGGATGGATTATGTTCTTGATCTGCACTCCTCCACTGCAACATCCCGCAGAGAAATCCTCAATTGCTACCCTATACACTCCAGTCTACGAATTACAGTCTGGCTACCTCCCGGTTCAGATTGTACTCCTCCACCAATACATCTCCGCACGTCGCCCCCGTCACATACGCAGTCGCCTGCGTGTGGTTGTTGGTCAACACAGGCACCACGCTCATATCCGCGATCCGAAGATTGTCCACCCCCAACAGTCGGAAGTGACTGTCCACCACCGCGTCCCTCTCCCCCCGTCCGCCCATCTTCGCCGTTCCCGTCATGTGCCAGCTCGATCCCAACGTGTTCTTCCAATGCTCCAGAATGTCCGAGTCTGAGTCCGACGCCGGCGCAATCACCGTCTCAACCACGTCCTTCTGGAACGCCGGGTGGCGCGTCACCTCCAACGCATGTCGGAAGATCTCGATGCACGCACGGCGGTCAAACTCGTGCGACAGGAATTTCGGGTCAAACAGTAACGGCACGTTGGGGTCGGAGGATTGCAGGCGGACCTCACCGCTGGATTGCTCGTTCATTAAGAACACCAACATACAGATGTAGCTGTAATCCGGTGGCCACTCCGGCGCCACGAGATGCAGAGGGAAGTGCGTGAGGAACTCGTAGTGAGGCACCGTCTTACGTTGCATAAAGTCTTGCACGTCCGCCGGAAGAGCTTGGAACTCCCTCGTTCGCATCAGCCGGTCGGACTTGAGCCAGCCGGCAGCAATCTGACACGAATGCCGCGCCCAAGGGCCCGTGCCGTCCTGATTCCACCGGGCCATGGCGCTTTTCATGGCCGCAGGGTCGCCGAAGAACGCATTGCGGTCGTTGGTCGCGGGGTCGCGTTTGAAGCACAGCGGGGCGAAGAAATGGTCACGTAGACCCTTGCCCAGGGTGGAGATGTCCTTCCGCACGGGAATGTGGAATTGTTGAAGTTGTTCGGCCGGTCCGAGACCGGAATGCATCAGGATGCGCGGCGTGTCCAACGAGCCTGCGGTGAGGATCACTTCGCGGGACGCCAAATCTGCCGTGGCTCATTAGCTGTGGTACTGTACGGTACTGATGGGGATGATCCAAACGTACACTGTCTCCCATTGGATGCTACGCCTACAGCTTTGAGACCCTCCAAAATCACTCGTTGCACGGGCGCTTCGGTGATAACCGTCAAGTTATCGGGCGCCCCCTCAAGAAGATCCGTCGCGGTCACTCGGCGGCCTTGATGGGATGAGTTGATGATCAAGCCCATGCCGATCGGGTCGCCCGAGTTGTGATCCAGGTTTCGAGCCAGACCCGCCTGCTCGAACACGTCCAGCATAAGCGGAAGATCCTGCTCCCATTCACGGGCAAAGCCCACTCGCAATCCACCGGTAGATCCATGATGGATCGTCTGGGGAGCAGCATACTTGGCATGTTTGGGGTCGACAATGGTGCCGTCGAAGGTCTCCAGCCCGCAGAACCGTGCCTTCATGCGCTCCCAACCAAAGGTCTCGTCCCCAACGAGCGTGGCCCATTGATCATAGTCATCCCGGGCGCCCACTGTGTAGACGCCGAAGTTGATGGCACTGCTGCCTCCAAGTACCTTGCCGCGCGAATAATCAATTTGTCGCCCATTGCAGTGTTCCTGGGGTGTTGTCTTGTAACCCCAATTCATATCAGTCTGGAGGAAAGTCGCCCATCGCTGACCATCCACGCGCAGAGAAAGATCCTCGTTTCGAGGACCCGCTTCCAGCAGCAGGACTCGTGGGCGTTTAGCGGAACGAGCAAGATTCGAGGCAAGGGCGCAACCAGCCGGCCCCCCTGGCGTCGAGTTAGTTGGTGGAGAAATGTGAAGCTCGAGGGGGACTCACCCCCGACAATAACAAAATCCCACGTGTGATCCGTCGGCGAACTCATGCTGGGAATATTCTGATCGCACCTGAACGTCATAATCCACAAGCAGGTAATGCAGGGAAAACAGCTTTGGTTGAGTAACTTGAACTGTGCAGGGAGAAGGGCACCACCCGCACTTGCGGGTGCCGTGGATATAAAACAACTGGGAAGAGTGTGACCTTGGCTGGCGAGTCAAGCCTCTCCATGCGATCGGCAAGAGGTATAAAGTCTGACTCCGCTCACCTACTTATTAATCAGTTGAGTAGAGACATCCGGCCAAGAAGTCATCGTCGATACGACGATTGTCCGTTTCCGGAAAATGCAGCGACGAGGGGTATTTTCTGACCGCATTTATTTTGTGTGGTACTGTAGAGGCTCGAGGGATCGACATCCTCGATCGATGGGAAATCGAGAAGATCGTCCTCCATGAGAGACAAATTATGGAGACGAGCTCCAATGTTGAGAAACCAACCATGACGATCCGCGACATCACCACTAATTTTCCCCGCACAGCCTTGGCACACAGAGATGCATATTATTCATCTCCTCACCCTAAACAAGTGAACTGCGAAGTGTGGGTAGCTCTTCCAAGTTGTACGAACAATAAGATCCGGAGCCGGCTAGGTTGTCCTTGCCAGGAGTTGTGCATCCTCCTTGTCAGTTAGGCAATTCAATTTGGTTCTGGGACATTTCTAACCAAATACACAAGTGTGCGCACCCATCGTAAGCTGGACCCAACGGCGTGGTGGAATTAACCGAGACTCAGCAGCGGCATGGTATACCAGTACTAGTCACGGTACTACTTCATTTGTAAGTCGCAGCCGCCATGTTGTCTTGCGGTGATTGACAAGCCTGCGACTGGTTTTATATATGTCGTGAAGTGGAAGCTAGGATAAATCAGAGGGTCTATGAGCATACGATGACTCTCATCGCAACTCAGGGAATCTTGCACTCAGCCCAGCCAATCGTCCGACCGTGCAACAAACTCGGCCTGCCGTCAACCGTGATAGAGTGTCCTGCTATAATGATCATCCATATGGCGAGGCCCTAACACCTGCCTGTCTCAGAGCCAAGCGACTCCTCGGATACATTACGCATTGGCCGTTTGATGACTGCAAGGGTCGGTCCATCGGGAGATTATTGGGAGAGGCTGGCACGATTGGTGTCGTACTTGTGGTATATGCAGAGCATGGTCGCCGCGTGGAAAGTTGTGGGCCGACATTCAGACCCGAAATGTTACAGATTTCTCCTCTGGGGAAAGTTCGTTCTAGGCTCCAGCTTGGGGTGCATTGATCAGAACCAATGTCAGGCGGGGCCCCACAAGCTAATGAACATCGGTTTGACATGCCAGTGCATCGAATTTCGAACCCCTTTCTTTCATAAGCTCACACTCACCGAGTGACACAGACACAATAGAGTTGTCCCCTGGCATATGCTGGCCCATATTATTGATCCGACCCTGGCATCGGCTGGATCCGACCGAGATTGGAGACAGTCAAGGTTGAAACACGGGAACTCTCGGCGATTTGTATCGCTCGAAGAACCTTGGGTCTCGGGCGAGAAAATGCAGGCGGAAATAGATTTCGGGCGTAGAGATTACTGAGTTGATCAGGAGGAAGAACAAGAAGAAGAGAGAAGGGAATGGATGGATGGAGCCGGAAAAGCAGCAAACCAGGAACAGGGGCAGTTTGCCATGTGACTTGAGGATTGAGGACTGCCAGTGGCGGGCCTGGTCCCTCAGGCCCGCCAACACTGTTCATTCCTCCTCCTCAGGAGAAAAGAATCATCATCATCATCATCGCCCATCAGTGGCTCAACCCCGGACTTTTCCCCTTCTCTCCTCGCTCTGACTCCTGCCTTAGACCCTCTTTCAATCTGCTTTGCTTTTCTATCTTGCCACCATCGGCCTCATTCCATTCCACTGCTGAATACTCATTTACGCTTTCTCCCCGACTTCCCTACGCTGTTTTGGTTCCCCTCAGGCTTCTTATCTATCGCGATCATCAATTTACAGCGTACCCTGCAGCAACCCGGTGGCGACTGATTTCTAACCCCTCCCTCCGGAGTAGAAGAGGGATCGGTTTTCTTTCAATCACCTTTCCCGGTCGGATCTCCTTTCTGCAAATAACTTCTTCTTCTTCTTCTTCTTCTTCTTCTTCTTCTTCTTCTTCTTCTTCTTCTTCTTCTTCTTCTTCTTCTTCTTCTTCTTCTTCTTTTTCTCCTCTTCGCCCCTCTTGACTCCCTTGGGTGATTGAGTTTAAATAAACCTTCCCGCGACGCCATCTTGCAGCTTCTTCCCCAATTCTGACTTGCATCGCGTCTATCCGAGGCTCCCCGTTCTCCCCCTTCATTCTGCAGGAACGCCAGCATTTGCCGCCACTGTGTTTGCCCTGCCACTAGTGCACTGTTCAGGCACTTAAATAGAAAACCATCTGCTCGGAGGGGGAGTTCCGTGGCGGTCGGATCTCTAAGAACGCTTGGACAACACTGATTGAGGTTCAAGCAGGAGGCTGATTCTTCCACTTACCCGACCAACCCGGGTGGTCGAGCGTATTGCGCCCGATCGGCTGGCTAGTTGTGTGGTCTGGAACAATCAAGCATGCGAATGAGACTTGCACTTCCATCCTCAACGCTCCTGTTCGACTTTCGCGCTACAACTCTATGATCATGGCTCGCTGGAATTATCAAGCGGGCCTATGTTAGAGTTTCGCATATCGGACTTGTCTGCCTCACCCTCTGCCCTGGGATATCACAGTGGTTACGATTCATAAGTGCAAGTGTTTCTCCCTCTTGTCGGGCTGTGACCGGCGGCCGTGGTGATATCAGCGTCTCTCCTTTTGTCGTCATGTGGGACACTCTATCTACCCCCCCGGAGGGCCTTATTGGAGGCTACCAAGGGTCTAGTCTCGTTATCAAGATTTTGATGGCCGTCTTCAGTGCCATCGCCCTCTATAACGCAGTTGAACTTGTTATTCTCATTTTTCTCACCTTCACTCGCTACAGTGGCCTCTACTTTTGGAGCATGCTTCTGTCAGACGTGCTGGGGGTCATCCCCCACGCCGTCGGCTATCTCCTGGAGTTCTTCGCGGTGGGTCCATTGTGGTTCGCAGTCACTCTTTCGACAATCGGCTTCTACTTCATGGTTCCCGGCCAGTCAATCGTGTTATACTCTCGTCTTCATTTGGTGGTGCAGAGCCAAACGACTCTTCGCCGTGTCCTTGCCATGATCATCATCGATGCGATTATACTTCTGATTCCCACAACGGTCCTTACCTACACCACGATTTACATCGGATCGGAACCGATCATTCGAGGCTACAATGTGATGGAGCGAATGCAGCTGGCCTGGTTTTGCGCTCAGGAAATAGTCATCTCAGGCATATATATCTGGGAAACGATCAATCTGCTTCGACTTCGGCCGGAGAAGGATCCGCAACGACACAAAAGCATGTATGAGCTGATTGCCATCAATCTGGTGATCGTGTTGCTGGATGTGTCTCTTTTGGTGTTGGAGTATGTGGGGTTATACACTCTCCAGACGACGCTCAAGGCCGCAGTGTACAGCGTCAAATTGAAGCTGGAGTTTGGAGTGTTGCGTAAGCTGGTTTCCCTCGTCAACACCCGTCCCTCCGAGTCCAGCTCGACAGACCAGGATGACTTCCCCAATTTCGTCGATCCCGAGCAAATTACGGGTGATGTCACGCGAGCAGCGCCTCCCAGCCCACATACCCAGTCCCGCTATCCCTGGACCGCCCTTTCCATGGACAGCCTGGTTTTGTCCGAACGTAGAAGGCCCCTGTCGCAGTCATCGGAGGCTCCCCGGCCGCCCTAGTGCATGGCACATGCCGCTATCGAACTTGATAGTCCGGCGTGCCAGAAGTACCTTTTCTGAGGGCCTTCATTCGGCTTTCATTTTCTGACCTGTCTTCTGCCTCTAACCTCATGGCGAGGACCCTGAGTTTTAATTGCCCCTGAAGCCCCTCAAGGGGCAGGTGTTCAGGGGCTGACTATGCGACTGGAGTCAGCGGGAGCACAATCCCTCGCGAGGCGCTCCTGCCAATCGCATCAACTGGCTCTCCTGGGTTGCCCGACTTATCCGGACCGAACCCGTGCTTGTCGGGGTTGGTCCATGCAGACCACCAAGGATTTGTTGCAGTTCTTGGTCCAAGCGCTAAGACGAAAGCGCGTTCCTTCTTTGGGCACGGCTCCTCTATATGCCTCCTTAAAACCTGGTTTGGCCTAATTAGCTTGTACAGCCTTTGCACCAGTCATTTGTACATATCACATCTGTAAATTAGGCGGTGCTCTGCATATACCCCATTGAGATCTATCTAATCGCATTTTAGTGTCCATGTGAGCTATCTGATATCGGTCAGTTGCAACGATGTGATCTTAGTCAGGTGCCGTAGCGTAACTTACCATTGCACATAGCTTGGGGGAGGGTCAATGGGGAGGGGAACACAGGGGAGCTGAGTGGGGATTCAGGCAGCGAGATACGACGTTGGGTGGCCAAGTTTGCACAGGAACTACTGGGCCTGTGGAGTGTGGACACTTGATAATAATATGAAGCATTAAGAAGCCATCATGCAAGAATCCCATCAAAGGGAGTGCCGGAGTGGGCATATCGGACCCGAGCCCCGAGCCGTCGGGAACAGTGGACAGATCGTCGAAATCGAAATCCTTAGGGTCGGGAATTCGGGATCGTCTTTAGTTTCGAGACTAAGAAGGGGGAAACCCAGATCCGCTTCAATAACACAGGTCATATATAGGCCGGGCTCACTAGTGGGAAACTAGGTAGAACCCCCAAAGACTGGCCCGGTTATCCACTTGTGACTGACAGACAGAGAAAGATGAGTCTGAAAGGGGAAGTGAAGGACAAGGAGAAGTCAACCAAGCTTTGCCCAGCATTTGTGTCTAGGCTTTCAGGGAAGGTGTCTACTACCCCAAGCAGGTTTTTTTTTTTTTTTCTGTTCTGCTTGTTGTGTTGGCATTGGCATTGGCATTCGAAGGGGGGTGAGCGGGGTGGAGAGGAGACCCTTCCATTCTCCCTCCGGTCTGTCCACTGCGGAGTTGGTCCACTGCAAGTCAACAGTCCTGTTCGTTTGACGCTTTGTGTTTCTATTGGCAAGATCATTTGGACGTTTGGCGGGAGAGAACACCGAGTCCACGGAAAACTTCACCGCGGAAGACTACTCGTCCAGGCGAGGTGCCATTGGCAGGGGTTGGCATAGAACTAAGAACTAAATAGCCCCAGTAGGAATCTAGTTATCCCTTTTTTATTTCCCTGTCTAGCCTTTTTGTTGGCTTGTTTCCTCAGCTAGTTCCACCGGCCGAAGTAAGACATAGATCGTTCGGTTGCAAGTGTCCCCACCAGCTGCAGCGCATCCGAGCTGACGGTAATATGATCTTCCCTTCCCCTCCCCTCCCCGGCAAGGCAGCGGAATCCACCCGGCTTGTCGAGATTTGGAGTACGAGGATGGCGCAGAATTTTCTAGCAAGTTCGTACCGGTCGGTAGGAAGAAGGAACGAAGCAGAGAAGATATCATATCCTGCAGGATTTGCTGCAGGTTTCTTATTTCCGACAAACGGTGATCACACTTACCTGTCTGCCATTCCAGGCTTGTGATATGGAGACCCTAGATTCGGAGGCGCATAGAAATTGGGGCAAATACAAGGCCTCTGTTTCGTGGGTGGCATGCGGAAACCCACCGTTGGGGATTGAGCTGACTCGCCCGGTGGGATCTATGAATAACTGCGCGTTGGAAGGGAAAGGGGGAGAGAGAGTGTGTCTCTTGGTTTGGAGGGAATACTTATTTTATGGTTGTGTTCTACTACCTCCCTACCTCTCCACTGCTTTAACATCTATACCTGTCAGTCAGACACTTATATAGTTATAACTTTTGCGGCGTAGCGAGTCCACGGACCTACTCGGTCAATCAACAAAAAATCTCAATCTCAATCGGGGTGTCAAAATCGGAAAACTTTCCCAGGAGAAGTTTAGCGAGTTTCGAGGATAGCCCCATCTCTGCACTGCTGGCGTACCCTCAACCTCAAAGAGTGGAAGCGCTGGTCGACGGCTGAGATAAGCATCGATCTTCATTTCTCCCATTCGGCTTTACCGGATCCATTCCTCACGGGTGTCATAAAATGCTGTTTGATTCGTTGGAATCCATTCCGGTCGAATTGGAGGACATGGTTTGATCTCCGTCTGGTCTTTTCGTTCAAGGTTAAGGTAGTTAAGTCCTACGGTCCTTCAGCTCTTACCAGTGCAGCCAGCGAGGGGCTCTGATTGGCGCTGCCAACTTTTTGTGCAGCAACGGCTGGCGACTAAACCTCTCTGAGCGACTCATCCACCCCGCCGGGCCGTGTTGATTCGTTTACCCCATTGACTCCGGCAAAAAGTCACTCCAATTCACCCATGGGGTTGGACCAGACTGTGCGAGTGTGGATTGGAAGCACAAAAGGAACATTAGGAAGCAGTCCTAAGAAGAAAAAGAAGATCCAGAGGAAGAGGAAGAACGAGAACGATTCTCTCTGCTGGGAGTGTTGGACACACTCACTACCTTGGAGTATACGCCGACCTCCATTCAATAATAATCATAATACCTAATACCTTTCCAGTGAGTGCACACACACATACTTTCCACTGGCCTGTGTGTGTGATTCCTGCTCTTTCTCTTTCTCGGCCATCCGACAAACTCCCTTGACTCGAGTTTTTCCCTCCCTCAGGTTTCTCTGACATCTCCCCTCTTCCCTCCAACAGCACCTCCTCGAAGGCACTGGAAGGGCAACAAACTTGACCAACACCTCCTCCACCACCATCATCATCATTATCATCATCATCACCACCACCACAACAAGGACAGCGTCAATAATATCATCATCCTTTTCGATATCACTTTTTATACTTACAGCAAGCAAATAAACCCACTTCCCACTTCTTCACGGAATCTTCCTCGATACATTAAGAGCTTGCCCCCTCATCTCCTGCATCGTCGGTCAAGCCATCGTGCGCCCCTCCCTTCTTCCTCCACTCGCCTCTTCGCCCCCCTCCCCGGAGCAGGCGTCGCGTGCTTGAGATTTAGCTGTTGTGGGTTTGCCTCATCCTGTTCTTCTACTAATCGTTTTATTGTATTATTCGTGCCAATCGGTTACCCTTCGCATGAGCCCGGGGTTTTTGCCACTGACGGATTTGGAGTCACTAATTAATAGTTGCCTCCAGTAACAATATCAGCCCCACGTGAAGGAACGGGAAGGCCTCTCCCCCCCGTTTCCCTTCCCACCATCGCCCCCCCCCGCCCTCCTCCCCTTCTCCCCCCCCTCCCTTGTGTGTCAGCACTTGCTCGGCTTCGAGCCTGGCATTTGTGGCGTTTGAGGCTTGCTCATCTTGGGGCAAGTCCTACCAACTATCTTCGCAAGGACACTGCTGTCAGGGTCCGATCTGTGCATCATCGCATCATCGGACTATCGTCATTCACTACTCGCCCCGAGACATTGACCATCTCCTCCGTCGTTCAGCAACACCACTCACTGATGTAAGCTAGTGGATCTTCACTCATCAAATGCGCTGAGGATTTCGAGGCGGGACTCTATATCAACCCAAACCCAGGGCCATCCTCTCTTCAGTCCTTCGACGATGGCCTCAAACATGGCTTCTTCCTCCGCTAGCCCTGCGCAAAATGTCGAAGACGATTCGCGGTCCGACCTAGCCGTCAATACTCACGATGGCTCATCGGGCTCGAGCCCAGAAAATCCCGATCTGAATCGTGATACGGGCGTCGGCGGTGCAGACAGAATCTACCCCATCCGATCGATCGTATCCGTCAATCCCTCTCCAACTAGCCCATCTCAAGCCGTTGTATCGACCGGCTCCACGCAGCTTCGAGCTGGAGCGCGATCTTATTCGATCATAGATTCCGACACCTGGGATCAACTCCGCGCTCAACCAGTCTTCACGCCGCCCAGCGATACCGCCATCAGCAGTAGTGACAATCAATTCACCCCGGGAAGCTCCGAATATCCCTCTTTGCCCACATCCGAAGGCCACTCGCGAAATTCTGACGCCGGGATCCGGGTGCCCGCCGAGTCGGACGGTTCGCTCCTGCCCGTCGACAAGAACAAAACGCACATCACCTCCCGCTTTCAGCATGTTATGACGAATGACGGACACGCCGTGGTTACCGGTAGCACACCGGATACGTTCATGGCGTGCGAGGACGAACCGATCCACATTCCGGGGGCAGTACAGAGCTTTGGGGTCTTGCTTGCCATGCGAGAAGACGATGACGGCATATTGTCAGTCCGGGTCGCAAGCGAAAATTCAGAAGCCCTCCTCGATCACTCTCCCAGCGAGCTGTTTGCCTTGGAGAGCTTCTGTGATATTCTGCACGAGGATCAGGCGGACATCCTTCTTGACCATGTCGATTTCGTTCGCGATGAAGCTCATGATCCTAGTGCGGATGGGCCGGAGGTTTTCATTCTCTCGATAAACGATCGCAATGGACGCCCACGACGCTTCTGGTGTGCAATTCACGTGATCCCAACCCAACGGGAGATCATTATCTGTGAGTTTGAGCTAGAGGATGATCGAATTAACCCGTTGAACTCGGCCGGTCGCTCCACCCCCGCCATGCAGACGGATACTCTCGGATTTGATCCGACTCCGGAGCAATTGGCAAGCAGCACCGTCAACATCAGCCAACCATTGCGGGTCCTTCGAAATGCTCGCAGGAGGCGCGGTGAGGCAGCTGCGATGGAGGTCTTTAGCATCGTCAGCCAGATCCAGGATCAACTTGGCGATGCGAAGACTCTCGACACACTTCTCAATATTACGGTCGGCTTGGTGAAAGAATTGACGGGGTTTCATCGTGTGATGATTTATCAGTTCGACAGCGATTACAACGGGACCGTCGTGGCGGAGCTGGTGGACATGCGAACGACGAAAGACCTCTACAAAGGGCTGCACTTTCCCGCTGCAGATATCCCAAAACAGGCCCGGGAGTTGTATCGCATAAACAAGGTCAGATTATTATACGACCGAGATCAGCTCACTTCGCGACTCGTTTGCCGCAGCCTGGAAGATTTGAAAACCCCTTTAGACCTAACCCATGCCCACTTACGAGCAATGTCGCCTATCCATATTCGTTATTTGGCCAACATGGGCGTTCGTTCGTCTATGTCCATCAGTATCAACAGTCCGAATGATCTTTGGGGTTTGATCTCATGCCACACTCACGGCGATGTCGCCATGAGAGTGCCATTCCCGATTCGGAAGATGTGCCGACTCATCGGTGACACTCTCTCGCGCAACATCGAACGCCTTTCCTACACTTCACGATTACAGGCTCGCAAGCTGATCAACACGATTCCGACCGACGCAAATCCTTCTGGCTACATCATCGCTTCTTCAGATGACATGCTGAGGTTGTTCGACGCCGACTACGGAGCCATCTCCATTCGCGGCGAAACCAAGATCCTAGGCAAGTCAAACGAATCGTCGGAGATGTTGGCCTTGCTGGAATTCTTGAAGATGCGTCAACTCCATTCGGTGGTCGCTTCACATCACGTGACCAAGGATTTTCCCGACCTGCATTATCCCCCCGGCTTCAAGCATATCTCAGGTATGCTCTATGTACCGCTGTCATCTGACGGCAAGGATTTCATCGTCTTCTTCCGTCGAGGCCAGTTAACAGAGATCAAATGGGGCGGCAACCCTCATGAGAAGGAATTCAAGAACGGCCACCTGGAGCCTCGAAAGAGCTTCCAGGTCTGGAGTGAAACAGTGATTGATCAGGCGAGGGAGTGGTCCGAATCTGAAGTCGAAACTGCGGCTGTTCTCTGCCTTGTGTATGGGAAATTCATCAAAGTCTGGCGACAGCAAGAAGCCGCGCTCGAAGGATCGCAGCTGACCAAGCTCCTGCTAGCCAACTCCGCCCACGAGGTTCGGACCCCTCTCAACGCGATCATCAATTACCTTGAGATCGCTCTTGAAGGTGTTCTCGATACGGAGACTCGCGATAACCTCACCAAGTCATATTCCGCCTCCAAGTCTCTCATATACGTCATCAACGATTTGCTGGACCTCACAAATACTGAAAAAGGACAGAATCTCATCAAAGACGAGGCTTTTGACTTACCCCAAGTATTCAAGGAGGCAAATGCTATGTTTGAAGGAGAAGCTAAACGAAAGGGGATAAAATTCACTGTCATCACTCATCCAGGTATTCCTAGAACCGTTTTGGGCGACGAACGGCGCGTGCGGCAGGCGATTAGTAACCTCATTGCCAACGCGGTCCAACACACGACCGAGGGTGAGGTCACTGTCGAACTGTGGCGTGCTCCGGTCACCCCGGAGCCCGGCGTCGTCACTGTTCAGATGACGGTTCTCGACACCGGATGCGGAATGTCCGACACCATGCTCGAGACTCTATTTCAAGAGCTCGAACAGGTCTCTTACAACGACGACGACACCTACTACTTCGATCGCGATCCGGATAATGCGACCCAAGGGACTGCGGATGGAGGAGAAGAGAAAGGCGTCCTAGGCTTGGGCTTGGCACTGGTGTCGCGGATCGTTCGTAACACTCACGGTCAGCTCAGTGTCCGGTCTGAAGAAGGCAAAGGAAGCCGCTTCCAAATCTCACTCCAATTCGCGACTTCGAGCGATGAACAACCGGAATTGGAGCCGGTAGATGTTCCAGCTCACACCGAGAGTCCAACGCCCTTCCAGCAGAAGGAAGAATTCGTCCTAGTGGATAATAGCTCACCCACGCCGAGCGAGGGCCGACGACGGAGTGGCGACAATTCTCGCGCTGGAGGCACGGAAAAAGCACATCCCGGTCAAATCCCGATCGAAAGCCTCAAAGATAAACTTGCTGGTGTTTCTATTCGAGAACTGTCCAAACTCTCTCAGACGGAGTCCGCAGATGATGGGGCAGACTCCTCGCAGTCAGACACGAAGGTGCCCGCATCTCCTATCACACAGCCTTCGGGAATTCAAATCACGCCTCAAGGAGATTCCCAACCTAAAACCCCCACTGGTACATATAGCATCTTGGTCGCGGAGGATGATCCTATCAACAGCAAAATCATACAGAAAAGGCTTGGCAAGGCCGGTCATGCTGTCGAATTGACTGTCAACGGTGAAGAATGTGCGGCGGCATTCCGTGCCGACCCTGCGCGTTATGACCTTGTGCTCATGGACATCCAGGTAAGCACTGCCTCTTGATTCATGATACCAGGTGTACTTGAGACTGACGCCGTGGCACTTGATAGATGCCAATCGTTGACGGGATCAATTCAACCAAAATGATCCGACAAGTTGAAACGGAGCCCAACTGTGCGCTCTCTCCGATCGCACAAGCCAACCAACAAATACCCATTTTCGCAGTCTCCGCCTCTCTTCTCGAAAAAGACATGCCCTTGTACGTCGGTGCTGGTTTCGATGGATGGATCATGAAACCCATCAACTTCAACCGTCTCAACGTACTTTTGTATGGTTTAGAAGATGAGAAGACGCGTCGCAACGCCACTTACCGGCCCGGAGAATGGGAAAACGGGGGCTGGTTTCCGTCGCTTTGAGCGGTTATAGTTCTCTTCCCATCCTACCACCATCTCCTCCGCCTCCGACTCCGACCTTTTTCCGACTGCCACCGGCCCTTACGCCTCTATAATCACAATCGTCATGCGTCCTGAAAAGTTCTCCTATCTCCGTCCATCCTCCCCAATTCTCCCTCTTTATGACGAGAAATACCAAGTTATGACCGATCCATGATCCGATGCCTTCGCACACCACAAAGCATGTGATCTTCGTATCTTCCAATTTTCTTTCATGATTTAGTTCATTTTGGGATCTCATTTAGCAAGGCCAGTTTATGCTGAAAATCATTTTCATGCATTCGAATAACCGATTCATTTCACTGGGTTCCTTTTCTGCTGTCTGTTGGTTTGAATTTGTTATTCAGACATTATATTTTCATGTATACCCCACTAGTTTGGACTGGGCTTTTTTTCTTCGCGCGTGCTTGCCTATTTCAACATTGCCTGGGTTCTGGCCAGACAAACTTTGACCTGGTTTCTGAAACCTCCTGTCCTCCTCTATCCTCGACTACTATCGTGTGTGCTCATGGAAGCATACTTCTACCCAAGATACATAACTTCTTCGTCTCTTGTGCCCTGTGTGACTGGATGTATTATTAGATTTCCTCCCTCCTGGAGGTTCTTTGGCTGGTTTTGCGAATGCCAATTGGAACTATGGTGGTGTGGAGTTTTCAGCCGAGTCTGGTCATTTGGTTTTAGAGGCAGGATATGATATTTCTTACTTCTTCTCGAGGATCATGAGGTATTTGAGTGTAGGGGGTGGTGTGTTGACTGGGAGGTATGTTGTAAGATGTAGTGCCATAGCATTTAGTGTGGTTCGACTTACCTGCTTGCTTGTGTTGCATGTTATGCTGGGTAACTGCTACAGTGGCAGGTCTACATGCTCACAGATTAGTAGTACTGGTATCCTCCTTCCAACTACGGTAAGTCTGCGTTAACTTAGTATGTAGCTATAGCTAACTACTTAATCCAACCTCCCTCAACCCATCACCCTCCTCCCAACCTCGCAGGGGGCATAATATCGTCGAAGCACTGTGCGAAAAAAAAGTCCTAGCTACCTGTACCTCAGACACAGTCCGTATTAGCTGAAGCGTGCCAGCCATGATTGTCTCCGATTCCTGATAAAAGATCGTGGTTTATGTGATCAAGTTCTCCATGCTCGAGAGAAGTCCATTAGAGGAGAGAATGTGGGACAAGGATGTAGATATCTGTCATAATCGAAACCTCAGGCGCGATCAGAGTTACTGTCGTCCGCACAAAGAAATCACCAAACAAAAGTAACCATGGCTCGGCGCAAATCGCTCCCGTCCATGAGGTGCGACCTGGACTAAAAACCCCGTAGACCGCGAGTATCGCCATGGAGGCGCATCGAGAGGTACCGGCGTATCAAGCACTTTGAAATGCGGGTCGATTTCTCCGTACCACGGGTACTGAGGTTTAGACAAGGGGGTAGCTCGTGTAGCTCGTCGGTGGCCGCGGCTGAACGCTTGCCTTATCCCAAGTATAGTAAGTAGCTCACGAATCGATGCTATTAGTCGTTGCAAGCATGCTGTAAACGAAAGCGACATCTCCGACACAGAAAGTATCCAAGATGGCTAGAATGCTTAGCTTAGCATTTGTCTGTAGATTAGTACTATTAGCCCTTGTTCTTCGCACCTCGTCGATCAAGTGCTGCTAAGCTTATGTGAGGATAGATCTGGGGGTGACTTCTCCCCCGTCCCCCTTGCATGCTCCGTCACGCTGTCGAATGCTCGAGATCGGCCAAAATTTGTTGCCGTCTCATACCATGGTTGACTGCGTCAGTCGCGCGAGGCTGGAACCGCTTGTCTGCGCGAGCTCTTGAGGCGCTCAATTTCACTAGACAAAAGAATGTCGCGATTGGCTCATCGGCTCAGAAGACGGACTCGAAAGATTACTTCTGCGACGACTTGGTGGCACCGTCGAGACGATCCCCGCCCGACTGACCCCTGCGCTGTCCCTGCTGATCGATGCCGCATTCTCTTGTATCTAGTGCGGCTGTCGAGCCATGGGTTTAAAGCTTCACACTCCAGGATTGAGTTTACTGGCTATTGTTTGTAGCTCTTGAACAGTTGTTTGGGTCGATTTTAATTTATTGGGCGTCTGTAGACTTCCGCGATTGTGTAGACTCTAGAAAGCAAAGAGGTCTAACGTCTACCACAGAAATTGACAACAAGCAGGAGATTATCTCCGACCGGATCGATGTCAGTGGCCCGTTGTGACTTTTTCCGTGCAAGCTTTGGCTCTCATCAATTCGACAGATTGCGTACTCCTGGAGGATGAGAGACGGTAGGCAGTAGATTTCCCGGGCTCAGACTGAATCTCAACCCGATTCGATAAATGAGGCGGTAGGATGATAGGCATTCAGAAGAGGCCCCAATCCCAGGAAGCAACTTTTCATGTTTGTCGTAAGGATGTTGAGTAGAATTCGCCAAGTTATATTTCATATTGATAGATAACAGTGGTGTAGAGGGAGCTGCCGTCCGAAAGAGGCAAGGTGGTCCGTGCGGCTGCAGCTGACGTCGACGTCGATTTTCCCGCCAGAAGAAGATCCAGCCAGCATCCCGCAGGCAGTGAGTGTCATCCATCCATTCATCCATCACTCCTCCTTCCACTCTTTCGTGCAATCCCCTCTTCTTTCATTCTTTCGCTCTTTTTCATTCTCACACATCCCCTCAACGGGGTCTATCATGATTTTCTGTCTGGGAAATATGCTCTTGTCTTAGCTTCATCTATCCTTGCTTTAACTACCCTCCTTACCCCGAATCTACCACCACCGCCGCCGCCGCCATGGTGCGCCTGTGGCCTTTCAAGGTATCTTTCCGCGCAACATCCCTCACCCACTGGCCACCAGATCCGCTTAAATTGACGAACCCACTCATCAGGCCGAAGACGATTCCCCAGCATCCTTCGAGAAAGCTCTCTCGGCCCTCTCCGAGAAGATCACCCGAACCACCAACCGCCTCGACCTCCACCGCCAACACGCCCGCCGCTTCAAGGCTCTTTGGACCCTTTACACCACCTTTGCCTACCTCCTCTACTCAATCATATTGGCTCTGGTACTAGGATGGCAGAATTGGGGCATAGCTGAATATGCCGCCGTCGTGGGCGGACCCATCCTGTATGGACCACCACATCCCCTTTCCTTGCGTTCTGTTTCCCCATAGCCACCACATTTGACCCCCGTCCCCGCGCGGACAACATCCTGGACTACCAGTCTAACCATCTACCCATCGCACTGCCCACAGGATCTACACCGTCCGCACCGGCGCCACCCGGTACTACGACTACCGCATCACCAAGACCCAAGTCCACCTCGACGCCCTCCACAAACAGCGCGACACCACCATCGAGAAGCTGAAAGAAGCCACCCGCTACAACTCCACCCAACAGCTCCTCGAGAAATATGGCGCCAGCGGCGGAGGAGGGACCCTCAAGCGCACCAAGTCCCGCACCGGAGACGACAAGCGCAAATCCGATGCCAGCCTTAAAAAGCGGAACCAACAACAACCCCAACAACCACCGGTCCAACGCACCGGGTTGCCTCCTCCCCCAACGGCCAACATCCGTCGTACCCCGCAACAATCGCCGCCGCAGCAACAACAACAGCAGCAGCAGTATCCTCCCAGCCCGGGTGGTCAGTACCCCCCTCCGCCTTCCTCTCCGTTTATGATTCCCGGGGGTCATGGACACGGACGACCTCAACAGGCAGGTTCAAGGTCTCCGGATCTCCTTTCCTCGCCGCCGGCGTTTGACGAGCCCGGGTTCGCACCCAATGCCTTCTCATCTACCCCGCCGCAGTACATCGAATCCTCGCATTGGTACGATCGTCTGTTGGACGTGTTGCTCGGAGAGGACGAGATGCAGCCCAAGAACCGCATGGTGTTGCTCTGCGCGAACTGTCGGCTGGTGAACGGCCAGGCGCCGCCGGGGATCAAGTCCCTGGAGGAGCTGGGGCGCTGGCGGTGCGGCAGCTGTGGCGCCTGGAATGGTCAGGAGAGTGAAGCGAAAAAGGTGCTCGCGGAGATCCGGAATGAGCCCCCGCTTGCTGCCGCGGCTGCGGTGAGCACGGATGCCGAGGTCCAGTCCTCTGTTAGTGAGCGATCGGATGACGGGGTGATCGTCGCCGCCAGTGAGGATGAGCAGGTGGATTCGGCAAGTGATGGCGCTGAAGGGGCGGCGGAGGAGGAGGATCAGTCAACGGGCGACGATGAGCAGAGCGAGGCAGACCAGAAGGAGGAGCCCGCGCCGAAGACGACGACTCGCGGACGTGGTAAAGGGGGGAAGAGAAAGGGGTGAGCGTGGAGGTTATATTCCGGTGGGGCTTTGCATTCTTTCTTTCTTTCTTGTTCTTGGTAGGGTTGGGATAATACATGCATTCTTATACTGGTCGTTCGTAGCATTCGTACCTTGCTGAAGTCGCCTCCTGCTCTTCCGGACCAACGGTGGGCGCGCAAGTACCATACAAGTATATCATGCGACTCGGAGCTTTGTGCAGTCCTGCTTGTCGCAGCTTGTCGCGGATTACACCTTCTTTATATCCAGAATACGAAAACTCCTATACAGTCGTGTTGACATAGCTTGTATTCAATCCCGGAGGTTTCGTTCAACCTTGTTGCATTCATTATTGTTTCTCGAAACCAATCTGTACAACCGCATTATCCCAACTGAGCCTCCACAATGCGGATAGTGTCAGAGATAATCTTGCCAAGCCTTGGCAAAAGAGACAATATATGGCCCGTCAGTTAAAGTCAGATACAGCCAAATCAAGAGCAGTGGAGATCGCCAATCCCAGATGGCATCTAAGACTTTCTCGGAAGCTTCCAAGCAATGCAATGCCTTTCTTCAGAAGTGTTTTCCCTGTCCGACTGTCGACCATACTAGATTCCAAAAGAAAACGCTGGCTCGTGCGTCGTGATGTCCCACAATTACAGCCCTCTCCTCTGTAGAGACTCAATGGTAAGATACGCTGCCTTCACCTGTGCTTCATCAGCGCAGGAACAGCCTTCCGCCGTCACGATCACCTCTCCATCTATCTCGACCTGGCATCGGTACGTAGCATCCTCCTTCACGGTTTCCTCCTGCGCCTCCGACATCAGTCTGGTCGTTGTGAAAATAGTGTTCCCCAGCCCAGCCGTGGCAGCCAGTTGCTGCGCCACCATCTTCGGGTGCACGACTTCAATCTCCTCATTCAGTACGCGACGCAGGAACCGAAGCAGCCCGATTCTTTCCGCGAAGTCGACACACACAGCGAGCTCGCCGGCGGAGTCGACGAATATAGCCCCGAGGATACTCTCGACGAGATCCGAGAAGAATTTGTCGGCGTTGAGCGCGGAAAGGGCCTGCCAGGGAAAGTCGGGGCTGTGCTGCAGGGCGTCGAGGATGGGGCCACGGAGGGCACGGTGGCGGGCTAGGGCGCGGTCGCGCGCCTGCTTGAGGTCGGTACCGCCGCCACAGCGCATGAAGTGCCACAGAGAAAGGAATTCTTGGGTGGAGGTGAGAGTGATTTGGTGGGCGGAGTGGGTGTCGACGTGGGTTCGCTCTTGGCTGAGAGAGAACTCCATGCAAAAGAAGGCAAGGAGGTTCGCGTTGACCACGGCGCCTTTGATCTGGGTCATCCTGCCCTGGGAGATTTCTGTGGGATGAGCGAGGAGCGTGGTCAGAATGACCATGTCCAGTACAGAGTCACCAAGGAATTCCAGGCGTTGGTAAGACTGAGTCGAGGCGTCATGCTGGCATGAGGGATGAGTAAGCGCTTCGATGAGAATCGATGGGTCCTTGAAAGTGTAGCCGATATGCTCTATAAGCCTCTTCTCGTTGACAATGTGCTGGATGGATGGTGTGCTATATGGCAAAGACTGGTTGAAATGGTTGAGATTGATTTCGGGGAGAAAGCGCCGAATACAGGCGTGGGCTCTGTCGAACCCGCCGTCAAGATACGCTGCGCCAATGAGGGCCTCCACGACATCAGCAAGTACCTTCATCGACATCGAGCGTCGACCAGCAGCATACGCCAGTTTCTCAGATATTAGAGGCGCACTCCACTTGCGCGGTGTGAGCGTCTTACTGATAATGAAAGCGTCCAGACCGGCATCAAGCGCCGCTCGAGCGAGACGATGGTTCTTGATGATGGAGTCTCTTCCTTTGGATAGATATCCTTCATGCCAGTTCGGGTGTTCAAAGAAGAGCTGGCATGATACAGTGAACTTTAGGATTGTGTCACCAAAAAATTCATATCGCTGGTAGTTCGTCAACGCGCTGGCCGAAGGCGAGGTAATGGCGGTGATCACATGGTGAGTGCTCGAGAAGCCAACATCACATAGGACGGTCTCACACAATCTAGTGGCAAGGAGCTTCGCCTCTAGTCTATCCATAATAGCAGATATAAAACGACCAAATATGCTGTGTTCGAACGACAGCTTCTCAATAGTGCACGAGTCTGCAGGCATGACGCACACTTTAGTAGAGGCAACTGGCAAGTCGGCCTCCAATTTAGTTGCCAAAGTCTGTCGATGCAGAAGGTTTGTCCGGCGAGGAAGACGATCGCATTCAACTTCGATGACTGCCAAGTCATCTTCTTGAGATACAATCCACCGCCGGAAGAGTAACGGGTTGTTATAGCAATCTCTCACGACACCCATCACAGCAGGGTAATTGTTGCGGGCATAGACATGACTGGCTGACTCAAAGCCTCCGTACTGGAGAAACCAACTTTCCAGTTCTGTATGTGGTACATCGGGGCCGAAAAGCAACACAAAGTCTTGTTCTGGTGCGGTATGTTTCGAAATAGTTGCTTGAAGGAAAAGTGAGGTTATCGACCCCAAATGCTCAATGGCCTCAGCTGTCAGGTCTACAGCCTTGTCAAAAGCCCCAAATCCCAGAGTATAAGTCGTCTTACTGTCCCAATATAGCGTCATCGGGTCAAGTGTTGGCAGCACTGTTGGTGTAGTCAACCTCACATACATGTGTGCGGGTTTCCCGTTGCATCCAACCGCAATTCGAGTTTGGTGGAGTTCTGGCGAAGACCATGAGTACGCCAAATCAATCCACGGATCATATTGCTCAGACACTTCTATCAGAGCTGGAATGTCACTCAGTTCGTCCTGCTTGAATTCTTCTCTACCAGTAAATGGAAGAAGATTGTCATTCAAAAGACCAAACTCGTACAGCGCTTTGTATGCCTGAAAAGCTGCTTCTTTTCTTGCTGCACGCTCCGTTTTCCACCATCGCTTACCATCAGTGCGTCGAACCTTGGGATGAACACACGCTGGGAGAACTACTGTTCCTCTCAGCAATCCTGTGTCGTCTATTTCGAATGAGTACTCGGCTCGAGTGTCGACGTAGGGCTGCGCCGGCAAAACATCACAAAAATGCGTCAAATGTGCGACAGCGCCATCTGCGGTGAGTACAGCACTAGATGGGACGTCAGCTGGATACTGGTAAGAGGACATTAGGACTGTTGCATACCCGGTGGATTCGACTACGAACCGCTCAATCACATCTTCGTGGACTTCCTCAAGAGCCCACGCTTCGAGCAATTTCCGTTCGTCATCTTCATAAGCTTTGATCATAGCTTGCTCCAGAGATTCCCATTTACCAGTGCCAGAGGATTCATCATCAGTTGCGAACATGATGGCATAAGTCGACTCTTTGTGCCGTGCACGCCCACGACGCTGGACAAATGATTTCAGGTTGGGAGGCTTGTCATAACAAACCACCACACTGCATGCGCTTATGTCAATACCCTCCTCAAGCACATCCGTGGCGACTATTAAGTTCTTCTGACCACTTTTGAACTCACTCAAGGTCTCACGTTGCAACCGAGGATCCAAGAGCTCACCCAGGGCATCCTTGCTACTGCCGTTGGACCAGCCAACATAAGCGGCACAGCGAAAGCGGTCCCTCGTCAACGGATAGACCGACAATAGTCGCGCCAGAACACTCACTGTTACACGCTGCTTTGCAAAAATCAGTCCTGCAAAGTCGGGGTGTCCTCTTCCATGTAGGAATTCCAACAGGAGACCAAATTTTCGCGAAGTACGATAATCATTTGGGTCTGATGATGTGACTGTAGGTTCTGGGGCTGGAAGTTGCGACAGGAAGTTGATAAGGTAGGCTCTCTCCTCATCTGTCCATCCCGAAACCGATTGAGAGTCCTCCGATTTTGATCTTAGTTGTTCATACGATGCGGCAATGTAGTAATCAACAGCCCACTCCCCAAGTTCCTCGAAGATGTGCGTACTTCTGGCTACAAACTTCCTTAGCTGCTCACGACAATGAGTCTTGCCTGACAGAAGCGCCTTCTGTAGCGCCTGGCCGCCCACGAGGCTTTTCCGCAATTGCTTGACAGATGGATCGGTTTCGATGTCGAGAGTTTCCCAAGCTTTTATGAGCGCTTGCAAGGTCCTGCTTCCAATCCTTTCTGTCTCATAGTCAAAGGGAGCGAAGAACATAGGCTGCAAGTGGGGGCAATGCGTGAACTTTCGGAGCTCATGCCGATGCACGCGAGGTGTCTTGCAGATCGCATCCAGGTTGGCCTCGATCATCCTATCCAGCTCGATTAGAACAAGACATTCCAAAGCTTCAAAGGCTCCCTTACTGAAGCTCTTGCGGGTTGGATCTCACTATTGGACTCGCCGTCAGCCCCAGGACTTTGGGGACTGCATCGGGACCGTACACCGCAACAGCCGGATGGTAGAAATCTTGCATGATCTTATTGGCTGGATGGCGACGCATGCAATGATGAGCTAGTATATCACCATTAGAAACTCACCATTCCTTGGCCATTAGTAGTACTCTGTAGCCCACTTACCTTCATCAAAGATCATCAAACTCAATTGCCCAATCCTCACAAAACCATGGCTCATGGCATCCGCTAGCACAGCATGCGTAGAAAAGACCACCTGGACGTCTCGAAGCACTGCATCCCAGACAGCCTGATCTGTCCACAACTCCACTTTGTCTAAGCCTGTGAGCGTTCTGGCTCTCATTGCGGGAATATGCTCGGCAATGGCTCGATACTGCTGTTGACACAGCGCAACAGTGGGAGTCAAGAACCAGATCAACTTCCAACGTGGTAAAACAGAAGATCAAACATCAGCCAGACCTCGATATATCGCATCGGTAGTGCGGTCCTGTCTCCTCACCTTGTGTGGATTCCTTTCCAGTTCTCTTTTGATCCGCAACAAAGCTCTGTTGTCCATGGTTAGAATTCAAAGCATACATGCAAGTGGGGACAGAGTAGTGAGGCATACATATGCGTCTTTCCGCTGCCAGTGCCCATCTAGAACAGAGTAACATCTTAACTTACTATCTTATCATTCCTGCAACAGTTGGATCTCACAGTAACGATGATGTTGCCTTTCAAACTGGCCTCAAACATCTCCGTCTGATAACTCCTCGACCGATACCCCGCAGGGTCATCGGTGCTTTGATTCGGAGTCTTGCCAGTCATGAGGAGTATTGACTGACTTCTGAATGGAGAAGCCTCTGACGTGTGGAGCTGTCCCTCCGATGAGAGGCGAGGAGATGGTGGATTAGTTCGAGAATAAGTGGGGGGAAAGATAAACAGTTGAGTGCGGGGTAAGCAAACTCAACAAACCCTGTCACCGACATCCATGTAGATCCATGATACTCTCCCCGATACTCTCCCCAACATGGAAGAAAGTTGCCCTCGACCTCACTGCATTGCATTTAAGCTGGATGATGCTAAACCATATGTATACAGTTATCCAAGACGCTTCTCCAGGTTCAAACTCATCCTGGCCGAGAGTGCTATATTCTGATGTTTCCGGATTGTCGTCCACGACACTCTATCTGAGGCCACATCAAGGCACTAAGGGCACAAGATAAAAAGCTCCACAACGGAAGATGGTCGACTTTAGTGATAAGAGGGTCTGATATTACATAAGGAAATACATCAAAGGTACTAGCGTGGTTATCATTTTCTGCCCTTCTAGGTTTCAAGTGATGAAATGGAAAGAGAATCTGAAGAGTAACCGCAGAACACCGCTCCTTCCTGAGCCAGGGAAAATACCTAGATACATGGCGCCTTACACCGGAAAGGATACATAGAAGGGTGGACGAAAAATGCAAGCCAGAGTCATCGGTATGGATGGTCAAACGCGAGGATCAACGAACGCAAAGAGAGTGATGGGTAGAGTCAATAATCAAAACAGACTGAAGTCTCATGAAACCACCGGCAAGCCGTGGGTTATTTCCGTCTTTGGGGCGTCTGAAGCATCAGGCTGGCCTTCGTCACCGCGCGGGCGGCGAGTCTGAAAGTTGTTTCCTAGGAAATTGGCCTCCTCGTTCGGGTGCTTGCGCATACCCAGGCCCGCCACGGCGATGCGGTTCAGCGAGTTCATATCGTCGTTTGGCGCAGATGCTTGCGCTTGAGCTTGAGGCTGCTGGGATTGCCCTGGAGCAGCCGGGGCAGGGCCCCCAGTAGATGCTGGACCGGGGCCTGGAAGAGACAGGTCTGATCGTGGCTGGCTGAGGTCGATGTTGCTAGGCAGCTCGGGCACCTCGCCTTGCGAGTCCAATAAGCGGGACTGCAGGTTGATGATGTATTCTCGCAGCTGGTAGTTCTCGGCCTGGAGAGCCTTCAGCGTCTCTGACATGGCATCGTATTCCTTCACTTGTTCTTCTAGTTTGCGGATGTAGCTTTCTTTCCGCTGACGGAAGGCTCTCTGCTATCGTCAGTCCCGCAGTCTTCAGCTTGCCTTCAAGTCAACAAGGGCCCACTAACTTGAGCAGCACGGTTCTGCGCAGCACGCTTGGAAGTTGACAACGGTCGCTTGCCATAAGTCTTGGGAGATTCTTGGCTCTGGGGCTCCGGTTGAGGGGGTGTTTGCGGAGGGCCAGCGAGCATGGTCGCGCCTGAGATGGCAGGGTCAATGTTGTTCTGATCTCGAGGACTCGTGTTGTTTGGTTGCATGTGCGGAGGTGGTGCCGTCGGCGGTTGTGGGCGCGGTTGCTGTGGGTGAGACATATGTTGATGAGCAGCTAGAAGCTGATCATGCAGCACTAGAACCGACGTAGCATTAGCATACTGATATCGCGAATGAAGTAATGTGTTTGGAGGTGTCGGCCGTCACCAGACGCGCCGATCTAGTCAACACCAGCTACGGGAGAATTTTTCATCGCCATCGCTCATACCGTCTCACTCCAAGAGAACAGTCGGGAGCAGTAGCTTACCCTGGTCCGCATGGTCCTATAATACAGATGACTGTTAGCCATCGCCACTGTTGATGATTCAGGTGATGGTCGCGACGCGACCGGTGAGGTAATCAAGCCAGTCGCGTCGAATCCTGGGTGGATTTCCCATCGTGGACCCTTGAGGACCCGAAGCAATCGTAAGAACAGACAGAACAGGGACTGATGTCCACCAGCACATCACTCGGGAACGATCTGAGGCAATGGGTGGATGGGACAGACGCGATCTGATGACAAACCGCGACACGATTAGGCTGCTTACCTGAGCAGTGGTTTGCATGCTTGGATGCGGCGCTGGGGCTAGTGTGGGCTGCATCGAGAGTATAGGATTCGAAAAAAAAAACAAGGATGCGCCCAAACAAAACAAAGGATCACCAATTCGAGTTGGGCAAAGGGGCCGCCGCAAAGATCAGCCTGTATAGAAGGTCTTGGTCTCTTAAGAAGGGAGAGAGGATGTAGAGAATGACAAGGGAAACGAAGGAGAGGGAGAAGATGAGGTAAGCAGAGGAGGTCGGAGATAGCTTTCCTGGAAGTGGAAGCTTAGCGCTTAGGTTTCCAGTACTGGTGAGGTACTGTACAATGGGGAGGGAATTATGCCCGTCACTTTTGATAGTTCAGATGCTGACTATTATTGGCGATGAATAAACCTGGGGTTGAGAGGGAAGGGTGGGAAGGACTGATCGCGTAAGCAAGTGGGAAGTGAAGGGGGGAAGACGATTAGTTAAATTATCAGTCAGACAGTGACGTGTAGGACGGAAGAGAAGGGGAGGCAGGAAAGAGGTGGTCAACAGTTTTTGGTAATCTACGGTACGGAGACTGGTTACTAGTGGTAGGAAAGAGGAGAAGCCAGCCGGAGGGGAGGCTGGAACCCGGGCGAGTGAATCACAGGCGTAAACAACAATTTGCCTCAGGTGTCCAAGCCACCTTCCGGCACTCGGGACTCGCGCCTGCAGACTACCTAGTTGTTACCTACCTATTTTGACATAAATACTCGACCGCCGCGTCTCAACAATATGGACAACATAGTACGGAACTACAGAGTACATTACTCCATCAAGTAGTCCTCCCATATATTTCTATCCATTATCTCCTTTCATTGTATCTGGAACTACTGTGTATCTCTGACTTGTTGTTATTCTTGGTTCGCGCCATTATCGCTGACCAAGTCACCCATCATTCCCTCGGGCTGATGACTGATCCGGCAGGTATGCGCTGACTCATCCATGGTTGACATGCTTCTGGGCGCACTGGATCGCCTTCCAGTATTGTCACAATGTAGTAGGTAGTGACAAAGTGGTGCAACCACTCTGAACCAATGACCACGATTGTGAATCATGGCGTTACCCTATCCAAGGAATACCTTAGTAGTAGGTATCAATACTGAGTACTTTCAATGCCGTAACTCCGAGGACTCCGTCGGTGTGTCGGCATAGAAACCCCGACATCCGCCGACCCTATCACAGGCTCGTGACCGTACCGTTTCTCTCGCGGTCGATTAAGAACCGCAGCCAGCGTACTCAACACCTGATGGAAGGCCTGCTTGCACCGTTTCGCAATGAAATTCTTCTGCAATTACTTCTACTCTAGATACAAGGTGGTCGAAGGATGCTACTAATCTGAGCATGAATCACTTTGCCGAGCATATAACTATGTACAGAATATAACCGATCGTGAGATAACCCTGCCCTCGTCCTCAAAGCGAGACAACTGCAACCCGATACGTCGTCGTCTTGAATATAAACAAGTTCTCGCTGCAAACAGCGCAAAAAAACCTAGCATGCAATCGAGATGAACCAAGAAGAAGCACCTCAACGATTTATTGCTGCTTCTTTGCATTCGCGTCCTTCTTGAGCGTTCTGATTATTGTTGCACCGACCTGGGAGGCTTCTCTCCACCCCTTCTGCCGCATCCAGAAGCGCTCAGCGGGATCCGTGTCATGCGTTGCCCATGAACGAGCGTCGTCCTCGAGTGTATCGCGAGTCAGCTGGGAGAGCTTCTCTGATTTGTCCTCCTTCTCGTCGACGTCGATCTCGTCGTCGCTACTTCTGGCTCCAAACGTGGATTCGAGATACCTCTTCCGCAAAAGGTACCGCTCGGTCTTCTCCTTGCGCACATTCGCGGGCTCAAGCTTCGCCATAGCCGCTCGCACGGCATAGCGCACGATCAGGTAAATATGCTCGCAGAAGAAGATGGTCAAAAGCAAGGCCCATCCTTTGATGGTAGTTGGCTCGCCTCCAGGGCCTTCATGACTGGTGCTGAACATGTACGCAAGAGCGGCAGTGGTTATGCTGCCGACCCATGACAAGAATCCAAGGCTATCCAGCCACGGACCAATGGTCTCCGCGCGCTGCGGCCAGGGTCTCTTGCACTCCACGCAGATCTTGAAAAAGTCGGACCGCAGTTCGACCCAATTGTTGATCAGGAAAGATACAGGAACCAGTGGCCACACCGGAGAGAACAGAGCCAGGTACCCAAACTGAATGCACATTTCGCGCAGATCGTCGGTGACGTCGTAGTCAGATAGGTCGGCCTCGTTGCGGACACGGACCAGGAACTTAGTCTCATCTGGGTGGTCGTCGAATAGAGCCTCGGGCGACTCCTCTTCTTCAGAACTGGAATCCGACTCCACCTTCCCGTTCTTCTTGCGGAGATATTCTTTGTACTCGCGGAGGAGACGCTGCTTAAGAAAAGGGACGATAGTCTCCATGGCGAAGCTGACAACCTGGGCCGTGACAGTGAAATAGATGACTTGCTTGCGCAGGCGATCTGGATCCATACTGAATTCAGTGCGCGATGTCGTGGCGTCCTCTTTAGAGACGAAGGGTCGAACAGTCACCTGAAAAATATCAAGGTGTGGCACTATCCGACTAGCGAAAGGTACATAAACAAAAGCCGTCAAGAACACCGGAAGGTAGGAGGTGATGAAGTTGATGACAAAGATCTTCTGCGTCAAGGCTACATGGTAGGCTTGTTGAGTTTCGTAATTCTCGTAGTCATTGAGCTTGGTAGCGACCGATACCAAGACTGAACTCATCGTTGGGATCAAGGCCGAGAGCAAGATGGTTGGAATAAAAATCTGACTGGTTTCAGCTGATCTGATCAACACTAGGTTCGGTGTTAGAGAAGCATACCAGATACGACTTAAGAGGCCCATTATAGATCTCAGAGATAAAGATCTCAATGGCGAAGCACGTCGCGATAATGACTCCCAGAGCAATAACCGACAGCAAAGCGAAAGGAACCTGGAGCAGCTGTCTGCACATGCGGGTGGTTGCCGGAAACACGCCCTTGATCTCTCCAGTGCTCTCATCCCGAATCTCCTTCTCAGGTTTGAATTCGCGCCGCTTTTCACGGACGGCGGAGACTCCTTTCGTCTGCCACCGACAGCTCAGATCCTCCTCCTGTCGTTTCCAGTATTCGATAAACACAATGCACCAGAGACAATTGACCACGGAATAGATGATTGAGAACGATCCGATCAGAAGCCAGCAAGAAAACCCAAACATGGCTGGAAACAGAAGGAACTTGAAGTAGGACTGGAGGAATGAGAAGTAGAAACCGACCTGAATTATCGACCGGTTGTCAGCTTCTGGACAATTGCGCCACGCTTACAAGAGGTACTCACACTCTCACCAAATTTATCCCGTATCTGATCGAGATCCTCGGGCGACAGGAACGTCTTCTGGCTCCATTCTTTCATGCATCGCTTGTTCATCTCCTGGTCGTGCAAAGGAAAAATTGAATCCACGTTCTTCCATTCTCCGTGCTTGGGAGTGATGCCAGCGCCGCCCGCCTCCCTGGGTACTGTTATCATGTGGTAAATGACGCGCAGTCGCTCCGACTCGGATTGTGGCTCGGCGGAGGATTCCGGCTCGGGCTCGGTGTTGCGGACGCCATAAAGCCAATCGCGAATTCTGAGGTACGGACGAAGACGTTCCAGTAAGTAATATGTACACTATAGAAACATCAAACAAGGCGGAAAGAGGACTCACTGAGCCTGATACACTGCGCGTTGGAGACTCTTCTTTCGCGCCGCGCGGACAAACACCAGTAGAGAGGTTTCGTCGCCTTGTCTGACTTCGGTTTGCAGACCGACCTCAAACAGTCTTTGCAGCAGTCGTTCTAGTTGCTCCGTGGTCTGCAAAACATCTACATTGGGGTTAAAGGCGGGGACCATCGATGGTAGACACTAGTCAGCTACACTGGGTTCTTACCTGTGTCGCCGAAGTTGTAACGAATGACGTAGTCGACATAGTGATTATTGTGCACGGGATCCTGAGGGATTGTGGAAGCCATTTCAAAGCAGATACTAGCTCTAAGTCATCCGTGCGAATCGATATGTTGAAGAGCTGTTTTGAAAAAGGTAGTCCGCTGTTGAAGCTTTTATCAGGGGGGGATGTTTGAGGGGGGTTCATATTCCGCCCGCGATGACGACGTCACCCCCGAAGCTTGACTTGTAGGGTTAGCCCTGGGCGGTGGCTTGGACCCTCTCCCCTCCGTCACTATGCATTCATCGCCCATCGTGATCGACCCGATCGTCAGTACAGTAGACAGTAGTAAGATCTCTGGTGGTTGCATGATACAACACCTCCTTCTATTGCAGTTTAGCACACAGTAAGGTGTAGCTGATCGTCAATCCGCAACCAGAATTTGATTGATTGTGCACGTCGCTAGTAGAAAGATGATAATTCTGGTTGAGGGTATTAAGTTGAATGCATGTACATACAGCACATATTTCGTAAACTTGAAAGAAGATATATTTTCACAGGCCACCCAGATCTAATCCTCTTACCCTCTTCGCTGTACGCATCAAAAGCCAATAAAGCCGAGTTAATAATAGAAAAAAAGGGTCAGACTCGCAATCAGACTCCTTCAGCAAGCTTATTTAAAGCGGGTCCCTCCATCATCATCTTAGTCCATTCATCCATCGCTTTGGCGCCCACCTGCTCGTAAAACTTGATACTGGGCTCGTTCCACTTGAGTACACTCCATTCGAGCCGTCTGCCATTCACTTCTAGGACCTTAGCCGCGAGGTACTTCAAAAGCTTAAAGCCGTAACCGTTGCCTCGGGCGCTAGGCTGCACATAGAGGTCTTCGAGGTAGATACCGGGAGCAGAACGCCAGGTTGAGTAGTTGTAGAAGAACAGTGCCATGCCCACTGGCTTGGGGCTTGGCTGCTCCGCGGTCGCAGGTGGGATGACAAGCGCGGTATAGACCGAGCCTCGCTTGGGGGTAGAGTCGGGGAAAGACAGAGTCGCCAGGAGAGACTCCTCAGTTGCCTCAACCTCGTGGAGAGCCTTCTCATAGTCGGCAAGCTCCCGGATGAACTGGAGGATGAAGGGGACGTCTGCCATTGATCCTGTTAGTGGGGTCACGGCTTGACGTGGTCTGGGTGAGGATGATGATGTCCATCGACTTACCCTCAGGCGTCGCGAGACGGATGGTAGGTTGGCCAGACATTGTGTGGAATGAGAATCAGAAGAGAATGGGACATCCAATTGATGAGTGAGGAGCCAAAGCACTTCTTATAGTGTCTCCAAATTCCCCCAAAATTTGAAGACCCGCCGAGACCAACGGGGCTTTTCCCCACCGCAACCGTATTGAGACCGTTTCTCTATGGCTGGAACTCCACGCCTTACGGAAACTCACGCCTTACCTGACTTTCTCGCTATCTTTGGGTGACTCAGAGAAATGCGCAGTTCTACAGTTGAGCAACAGATAGGAGAGGATAGGAGCAGTATGAAGATATGTTTTGGAGAAAAATTGGATATAGACGTCTATGTACGGTTACAAATATGTGCTTGAAGGCTAGCTAAGTATCATTCACTTGGACGTGATGGCCGACATCCATTTTTGCTCGTCCGTTCTACGATCAATTAGCATTTGATTCGTCGAGGGTTGTGAGGAATAAGGGTTTAGTACTGACCGATCGAAGTGCAGCAGCATGCCGAGCACGGGTATCAACTGCTTTTGATAATTCTTATCCTTCTGCTCCAGAAACTGGAGAAGGACATTCTTCAGATAGATATAATCAATGGACCCTGCGCCAGTCCCAGTAGGCGTGCCGCTGCGTGTGGAGGGACTATGCTCCTTCGCAACTGGGGAGGTGATTGTTCGTCTAGAGCCAGAATCGATCGAGGATCGCGATGACTGGGAAGGATGACTGAAACGATTCTCATCAGGGAGCAGCTTGTGGGACTTGCGCAGCTTCTCCAAACGAGAGTTGGTTTCCTCAACGGAACGGCGAAGCTCGGCTTTCTCCTTCTCTAGGTCGCGCACTTGCTTCTCGCTCTCATCAAGGGAATCACGCAAGCCTGCCATAGCCTGTCGCAGATCAACAAGTTCCTGGGTCGTCTTCTCGGATTCAGCCTCCAATTGATCTCGTCTACGCTTCCAATCCTTCTGGGTTTGCTCCAATTCTTCTTTGTCCTGCTCCGCACTGCGAAGAGCACGCTCAGCTTCGCGGAGCTTGCTCTTCAAGTCTTCTAGCTCACGCGCCCGGCGTCGACCTTGAGCACTGGCTTCATCCTCGGCGCGATCCCGCTCTTCGATGGCGGCTTCCATGCGTTCCTTGAAATCACGCACCTTGACATCGGCGCGACTTTCAATGTCGTTCAGTAGACGGCGCATGGTCTCTCCTTCACGTGTGCGTTCGCTCAGCAGCCGATGAGCATCGGCTAGTTCTTCTTCGAGACTCTCGCAACGTTCGCGAGCCTCCTTCATCTGCATGCCTAGTTCAGCAGCTTGATCGCGCATACTGTTCATCAGGCTCTGAGCACTGGCGTGCTGAGCAGTCTTGAGCTGAATCTCCTCCCGCAGGCCTTGGAGTTCTTTGTTGAGTTGACTGGCCTGGCTTTCGCTCTCGCGAAGCCGGGCGCGGGCGGTCTTTAGCTCGTCCTCAGCCTTTGACAGATCCGAAGTCACCTTCTCCTTGGCCTCAGTGGCTTCCTGCTTCTTACTCTCCGAGTACCTCAGGTCAGACTGGGCGACTGTCAATTTCTCCTCGGCCTTGAGCCTGCTATCGGTTTCCTGCTTGATCCTGTTATTGAGTGTCTTCACTTCTTTCTCACGCTCAGACATCGTGGATGTGAGGGTCTTGAGTTCGGCACGCAGATCATCGTGTTTGCCTTCCAGCCCCCTCAATTCGCTCGTCTTGCTCGCAAGTGACTCCTTGGTGGACTTGAGCTCCGCAGAATCGGCACGCAGTTTCTTGAGCTCTGGCTGAAGTTTCTGGAGAGTCTCGCGCAAGTCCGTGACATCCTTGAACCGCGTGGCGGCCAACTGTTGGGCTGCTGAGAGCTCGGTTTCCAGGGTTGTCAGCTTGATCTTGACATTCTCATACTCCTCCTTGAGATCGTTGTGGGCTTTCTCCGAATCAGCGCTTTTGGACGCATGAGACGCGATGTTCGTGCGCAAATCCGTCAGTTCTTTCTCTAATCTGGTGATGGTCTCCTCCAAAGCTTGTTTCTCCGCGGTCAGCACCTTCACCTTGTCCTTCGCCTCTACGTGATCTTGACCGATATTAAGCAAGTCGTCACGGAGTGATTCAATCTCTTCTTTGAGATCTTCCTCGCCCTTGAGTTTCGAGCTAAGACGATCGATAGCGGCGTCCTTCTCATCCAGCTGTTTTTTCAGCATGTCAATATTTTCTTCGAGCTCGGCCACCTTCGCTGTCAATTGAGCCGAAGCAGGCTCCGCGATGGGCGACGGATCCCGCTCAGTCTCAGTGGCTTTGGCGGCCTCCTCGCCGACCTTTGCGCCGCCAGCACCGCCCTTCTTCTTTCTCTTGTTCTTCTTCTTTCCACCTCCGGTGGCGCTTGTTGAGTTTGCGACTGGCTTCGCAGTCTCGGTCGGCTCTTGCTGAGCTTCAGCGGCGCTAGGGCTAATAGCCAAGCTCTCGCGAAGTTCATCGAAGTTAGCTGGCTTGCCGCCAATGACTTGTTCTTTGGTTAGCTGCCATGTGGCATTGCCCTCCATGTTGGTATCAAGGAAGCTAACAACATTCTGTAATTGCTGATTATCTTCCTTTTTCTGCTCAACATTTGCTTTCAGGCTCGTCATTGCGTCCTCGCTTTCCTTCAGCTGAGATCGGAGGCTATCTACTAGACCCTGTAGTACACCAAGGCGCTTCTCGTTGGCCTCCTTCATCTGCTCCATCTTCTCCAACTTTGCGCTAAGATCGGCATCCTGGCCGGTAACGGGAGATGGAGAGGCCTGAGCTTGCAGTTTCTCGATCTCGTCGGTCCTTTCCTTCAGATCCGCCTTCAATTTCTCAATCTCTGCGCTGGTCTTCGATACCATTTCTTGAGACTTCTCGAGCTTGGCCTTCAAATCGTCCAGCTCTTTTTGCTTTGAAGTCTTCAGCTTTGCGAGCTCCATCTCCTGCTTATCCTTAAAATCACGCAGTTCTGTGAGCTCCCGTGTTGCAGATTCTAGGTTGTGGACCATGCCTTCGGTTGACTCGCGCGCCACGGCGAGATCGCGCTTCAGTGACTCCATCTGGTTCTTCATGGATTCGATCTCCTCTTGCTTTCCTTTCAGCTCTGACTCCAGGCGAGGGATTTCGCTGTCGTAAGAGAAGAACTCTTCACTTTCCCCTTGTTGATCAGCCGACTTCTTCGGCGAGGAGGTGGCGGCTGTGTCATCCGCCTTCTTGGGCTCCTCCTCGGACTTTGTGGCCGACCCATTGGCGCCAGACGATTTCTCAAGTGCTTCCTTCTCAGTTTTGAGTTGTGCAACCTCATCCAAAGCAGCTTTGGTCGCCTTTTGAGCCTCGTCCAGCTTTTTCTTGTAGTCGTCCCTCTCGGTCGTCACGCGCTTGAGCTCTTCCACCACCATGTCTCCCTTCAGCGACAGTTGATTCAAGTATTCAGTCAGCGCTTTCGGCTCACCGATCGAAGTCAAGGGGGTGTTTTCGCGCAGAGCAGCTTCGAAAGGTTCGATGGAAAGGACTCGCGAATGAGCCATGCGGTAGGCTTTCAGGAGCTCTAGACATCACGTAGAATGAACACCACATTAGCCTCTCTTCGCCACAAATGCTCTCCCTCCTGTAATTGCGCTTCCATACCTTGATAGCGAGGTTCCAACTTAGCCAGCCTTCGCAACTTGACCCTAACTTCTGGCGGTAACTCCGGGGAGGATGAAGAGGGCTGGGCACTGCTACTCCCTTCCGCAGCCGCCGGTGTAGCTTCCTTATCCGTTATTGTACCCTCCGGCGCTTGGCCCTCCCCAGTTGAACCACCATTGTCGCCCTCGGGAGCAGTAGCAGCGCTGGCTTCCGTGCTTCCTCCGACCACCGCCTCCGGCCGCGGCGTGCCCGACCTGCTCGAAGAGTCATCATCGCCAATAGCGAATTCGGGCTCGAACTCGTTGGGATCGGGACCCCTAACGGGGGTGCCGGTGTTGCGGCGTGGACGGCCAGCACGGCGGGACGGGGAATCAGCGGTGCGGTTCGGGGGTTGGCGGGCGGAGTTGGAGCGGGAGATGGAGGTTTGGGCGGAGCGTTGACGAGCTTGTTCCTCGGCAATCCGCGAGTCGATTGCGTCGCGCAATCGCTTGTACCAAACGAATTAGCACGGGGCAGAAAGAAGGTGGTGCACGAGAGAGCGAAGGGGGAAAAAGGGCGGATTTTCGGAGCGGGGACACGTTATATTTGTTACTTACCTGAAACATGGCCGGAGCGGGCCTGTGAGCCAAGGCCACGGCAAACTTGATGAACGAAAGACAGAAGAGGAGAATGCGACCGAGGAAGATGACGCAGAAGAATAAACGAAAGAGAGGGAAGAAGGGGAGCAGTAGCAGCAGCAGCAGCAGCATGTAAGTAAGCGGATAGTGGCCGAGATTCCGCAGCGGGCGGCGGTGGAGGCTTATTCGCGGCAGTACGTGGACGGGAGTATGATGTTCGTTGTTCAATTGGGCGCGGTCCTGGCGGGCGGGAACGAGCAGCAAAAAGGATACTGTACTTAGCTTGTCAATGGATGCTGTACAGCACACTACTTTTGTACAATCGAATTTCGGGTGACAACTGTAGTTAATATTGAAGGGTCGACTAGTGGTTTGTTGGTCAAGCTGTTCGCTTTTATGTTGGTATGGAGCCCTCAAGCAATAAACGCCATGCTTTAAATCGTCAAATCATACCTGCTTAAATTACTCTTATAGGAGCTGAAAAGTCGATAGTCACGACCTAGGCAATATAGATTTTAGTACGTGCCCAAATATATAACTTATCATCGATCAACGATCCAACTTCGTAAGTTGAAGCGGTACTCCAAGTACCGTACTATCATACTGGCACTTGGATGCGCACTACGGAGCACTATTAATGGTTTGTGATATATTGCAAGAAATTGCAAGAGAGAAAGTCCGATCAATCTTCATGTGAACACACCTAATTAGTAGCATCCATATCAATACGTACCTATATGTCTGGACCATTCTCCGAGGTTCTCCAAACCAAACATGGACAGGGCGCTAGTGACCAAGACCAATGCGGCTAAGGGCGGTTGCTGAGTCCCCTTCCCTTCCTAACCTTGATTGCGATAAACCACCACCCACAGCCATCTCTCCGCCCACGTTGTTGCTGACCTGCTGCTATGTTGTGACTTGCCCTCATTATCTTGTATCAATTTGCACTCCCTGTAGGTATACGACATTCCCAGTTCCTGTGTCTTTGGACTCAAAAAGTGAGGAGGGATACGCAAGGATGATGGTCTTGGTGGCCCTCGCAGCCTACTTTGTACTAATCCGAGACTCCATCCGTGACTAGTCCACTTTCTCCCCTCCCCGAACCTTAGCGGGCCGGCCGCCCATCCGAAGCAGGGAAGTCTGATGGCATCATGGCCGACGGCGGAATGTCCGCTATGACCCTGCTTGCTTCCTCGGCCTTGGACGCTTCTCTTCAACATGTCTTCTCTACCGCTTCGTCGACTTCTGTCTCATTCCTTTCAGATCCAACCCCTCCTCCGGCCTTAACTACCAGCGCCTCCGTGGTGCCCGGCTTCTCTTCCCATCTTCCGCCCCCGCCAGTTCCCCCTGCGATTCCGACAACCATGGTGGGGTGGATAGGTTGGGTGTTTTCCGTCCTCTTCCAGGTCATTCCGGGTGTGCTTTACTGGCTTGTCACCTTCTCGACCATCACCGTACCAACATGGCTCTTCACGCTGTTCTCTATGAGTTTGACCTTCACGATGAATTTCACCACGCTGTGAGTGTTTGATTGAGACAAACCTCGTCTAAGTGGAACTCGGCATTATACTAACACAATGCTTCTGCGACCATAGACTGCTCATCGCGCTGGCTGTGGTGTCAACCATCAGCTGGTTCATACGGTACCGCTTTCTGAACATGTACAGCCGACTGCCCCCGGAACCTCAACGCAAGGAACCCCAGCTCGACCTTTTCCCCAATATTCAAGAGGGCGACTCCAAGCCTGGTCTAGCCAACTACCTGGATGAGTTCCTCAGCGCGATCAAGGTCTTTGGGTACTTAGAGAGACCAGTCTTCCATGAATTGACGCGAACAATGCAAACCAGGAAGCTCATCGCGGGCGAGACGCTTCTGTTGGAGGAGGAGAAAGGCTTTTGTCTCGTAGTCGACGGACTGGTCCAGATCTTCGTCAAGTCAACTAGAGACGGGAAGTCAGCTGGAGAGGGAGACACGAATCGCTCATCGTCAGACGAGGATGACCACAATGTCGATGGGAGACAAGGCTACCAACTTTTGACCGAGGTCAAGAACGGCGCCTCTATGTCATCATTATTTTCTATACTTTCTCTATTCACGGAGGATGTTCAGTTGAGATATGCGGAGAACGTCGAGCCGAGCTCATCTGTCCTAGGACCAACCGCTTCGCGTGCGCCTGACTCCTTCCCGGCCAGCCCTCGCGCGCTGGATGCATCGCCGCGAGCTCTTCCTCGGGGAAGGAGCTTCACATCCCAAGTCAGTGACAGCACGGACTTTTTGCCAGCTGTGCCTCCCTTGCATCTCGACGACAGTAACACCCCACCCATGCCAATCAACCACGAAGCCCATCCAGGCACAAGGGCGCACGGGAGTAAGCATGGCCAGAAGTCGGTTCACCCAGATATTGTGGCGCGAGCGATGGTCGACACAACGATAGCAATCATACCTGCTAGTGCCTTCCGCCGTCTGACCCGGGTCTACCCCAAAGCAACGGCGCATATTGTCCAGGTCATTCTTACGCGTTTACAAAGAGTGAGTTTCATGACTGCCCATTCCTATCTGGGTCTGAGCAACGAGGTTCTGGGGATCGAGAAACAAATGACCAAATTCACGACATATGACCTGCCAAACGAGATGCGAGGAGCTGCATTGGATCGTCTCAAAGACAAGTTTATCAAGGAGCGTGACCGACTGGGTCCAGAAGAAGTCACGAAAGGTATTGCCTTGCACAATCCTTTCTCGGGTAGGCGAAATCGGTCAAGTAGCTTCCGAAGAAAGGAAGCTGCGCTTCACGCGAAGCTGGGAGTATCACGACGCCCGACGGCAGCCGTGCTCCAGCACAATCCCCTCAATGACCGTGATGCTGCGGGTGTAAGCCCTGGGGATCTGCTTTCTAGCATCCAATTCTCGCGCTTTGGATCTAGACATGAGAACTTCGCTCCGAAGTTGCTGAGCCCACTTGCAGAAAAAGAACAGTCACCCTTGCGAGCTCCTTCTCCCATCATTGAATCCATGGGATCTTTTCACCGGAAGGAAAGCGTGGATGAGGATGCTTTGTTCCGTGAATCCATATTAGAATGTATTATGAAGGGCATCGGTCTGACAGAAAGCACCAATGACCTGATGCGGAAGACGCACAATTCGGGCGACGCATCTCCGAGACTCCTCTCTTACGATGCACGCCGACAGAAGGCAGTGTTCAGCAATAATGCTTTTGGATTCATCGATCCCTACGAAGGCTCCGTGGATGATACAGAGTCAATGATGTCAATGTCGGTCACCAGTGCTGGTGGCACGTCCCCCGTCATCAACCTGAGAGAAGAGCTAAGAAATGACATCGAGATTGTTTACTTTCCCCAGGGATCCGTGCTTGTGGAGCAAGGCGAGCGCCATCCAGGCCTGTATTATGTCATCGATGGATTTCTAGATGTGGGAATTCCCGCTAGCGAGAAAGAAGATGATCTTGTTGGGTCATCCCGACCAAAGCATGCGCAAGCGCGCGAAGAATCCTTCCCAACTTTGAGGCGCACTCAGACGAACACTTCGCGCATCTCAACCACAAGTCTGGGGACGGGCAGCGATTCCAAGCGAAAGAGACAGTCACGGAAATCTTTATACATGATCAAGCCCGGAGGAATTCAAGGCTATGTCGGCGCCGTCGCATCCTATCGCTCGTACACAGATGTGGTTGCCAAAACGGATGTTTATGTGGGTTTCCTCCCGCGGGCTGCCTTGGAAAGAATAGCGGAACGGTACCCGATCGCACTATTGACGCTGGCTAAACGACTAACAAGCATTCTGCCACGCCTGCTTCTCCACATTGACTTCGCGTTGGAATGGGTGCAGGTAAATGCTGGGCAGGTCATCTACCATCAAGGTGACGAAAGTGATGCTATATACCTCGTGTTGAATGGTCGTTTACGGTCAGTACTCCAAGGCAGTGATGGGAAGGTGACGGTCCTTAGCGAATATGGCCAGGGAGACAGTATCGGCGAGCTGGAGGTGATGACTGAGTCGACCCGCTCGTCTACTCTTCATGCGATTCGTGACACTGAGCTAGCCAAGTTCCCTCGAACTTTATTCAATAGTCTCGCGCAAGAGCACCCCGGGATCACCATTCAAGTATCTAAACTCATTGCTCAGCGGATGCGAGACTTGGTGGAACAACCAACACAAGAGCAGGGAATGGAACGAGGAAACTCGGGCACCATCAAGACCGCGACCTCAACTCTTAACTTGCGCACTGTCTGTGTCTTACCAGTGACAGGAGGAGTGCCTGTCGTTGAATTTGGGCACCGATTGTTGCAAGCGTTGCACCAGATCGGGGTGACGAACGGCGTCGCGTCCCTTAATCAGGCCGCCATCTTGAACCACCTGGGACGGCATGCTTTCAGTAAGATGGGAAAGTTGAAGTTGACACAGTACTTAGCGGACCTGGAAGAAAAGTATGGCATGGTACTCTACATCGCTGACACGACCGTGAATGCGCCGTGGACGCAGACCTGCATCACACAGGCCGATTGCATTCTGCTGGTCGGTCTTGCCGAATCATCGCCTAGCATCGGTGAATATGAGAGATTTTTGCTAGGCATGAAGACCACATCCCGGAAGGAATTGGTGCTGATACATGAAGAACGGTACTGTCCGCCCGGACTGACTCGACAATGGCTCAAGAACCGCGTGTGGATCAATGGAGGTCATCATCATATTCAAATGCCCTATCGACTCACAGCCGAACCCACACACTCCCAGACTAGACGCCTGGGAACAGTATTGAAACAACGAGTCCAGGTCATTCAGGCCGAAATCCAGAAGTACACATCTCGCCGGATTCGCCAGACTCCTCTTTATTCGGCCCAGACGCCGTTCAAAGGTGATTTCCATCGTCTGGCCCGCCGGCTGTGTGGTCGATCGGTGGGACTTGTGCTAGGTGGTGGTGGCGCTCGAGGTATTGCTCAAGTCGGAGTCATTAAAGCGCTCGAGGAAGCAGGCATTCCTATCGACATCATTGGTGGTACCTCCATCGGATCGTTCATTGGCGCTCTGTATGCTCGGGATGCGGATGTCGTGCCTATGTATGGTCGGGCTAAGAAGTTTGCGGGTCGCATGGGGAGCATTTGGAGGTTTGCCCTCGATCTGACCTATCCGACCGTGTCTTACACCACTGGGCACGAATTCAATCGCGGCATCTTCAAGACATTTGGCAATAGCCAGATTGAGGATTTCTGGCTGGAGTTCTATTGCAATACCACCAATATCAGCCGATCGCGTGCGGAGTATCATTCGTCCGGCTACACCTGGCGTTACGTCCGTGCATCCATGTCCCTGGCAGGCTTGATCCCACCTATTTGTGATGAAGGTAGTATGCTACTCGACGGCGGGTATATTGACAATCTCACGGTAGGCCACATGAAAGGGTTGGGTGCAGACGTGATCTTTGCGATTGATGTGGGCTCGATCGACGACAACACCCCTCAAGGGTATGGAGATTCGCTGTCTGGCTTCTGGACGGTGCTCAATCGTTGGAACCCCTTCTCCTCCCTGCCCAATCCGCCTACGCTGTCTGAGATTCAGGCCCGATTGGCATATGTTTCGTCCATTGACAACCTCGAGCGCGCGAAGACCACACCCGGCTGTTTATACATGCGGCCCCCGATCGACAAATATGGCACGCTAGAGTTTGCGAAGTTCGATGAAATCTACCAGGTGGGGTACGCGTATGGCAAGGAGTATTTGGAGAAGCTGAAGAGCGAAGGATCTCTGCCGCTACCGGAAGAGACGGAAGAGAAGAAGAAACTTCAGCGGACGCTAGCGCCTCGTCGCGCCAGTATCTGACGCCAGTGTATGATTCTTGATGCAAATAAAGATATTTTAGCTAGAAGTTTAGACAATCTATGTATGATTTATAGGCAGTAATCTAGATACTAACTCCTCTAAAAGGCCAGTTACTTACCTATACTAGTTATTTATTTGTTATTGTGGTAGTTTCGGTAGTTGTTGGAAGGAAGAGACAAAAAAAAAGTACAGTACAGTATGGGATCGGGATCTGCAGACCCTCTTGGCCTTGGCTTGAGGCCCGCCCCCGAACAACACTGCGAACACTGCGAACACCGCGGGTTCTGGACCCGTCTTTTGATTGACACTGCCACCACTGCGGCTTAGTAGTTGGTTGGTTTAATGCAGATGCACACCACCACTCATCTCTGCATTAATCTGCTCCTCCTCCTCCTTCTCTTTCTCTTTCTTTTCTTTCCTTTCTTTTCTCTTCCCCCCTTCTCACGGCCCTGATGACTGCAGCTTTTTTCTCTCCCGTAGTTCAGGTCCAATTCTTCTAGGACATTGCTTGTTTCTGGCACTATGCATGTTTAAGGCCCAGTGCTGATCTCCACCACACTGTTTCTCGTTGAGGAATCAATTCCGTCCTCGAATGGCTGCAGTGGGAAGATGACGGCCTTCCCTTGTGGTCCTCTGCGTCTCCTGCTCTATCGTGCATGGACCTTGCTGCTCATCTATTGTATTCTCCTGGTGCTCCTGCTCCTGGTCTTGATGGGGGATGAAGCCATTACAATTTCGCGTCGGTTGCCCATCGCTCGGTTCTGACAGCCAGGAGGAGTCTGCTAACAGCAAGCAGATCGGCACTCGACAGTGAAGTCAGACCAAAGTCTGGCTCTAGTGGTGGCAAAGTCTCGAAGAGAGGATACCTCTTGGGCTTATCGTGTTATGCCTCAGTAAGCATCTATCGTGACCATAGTACACATCAAACAGCAGCCAACAGGCCTACTCACCATTGCTCCCCGGACAGCTGGAGGCCTTACATCTACACTTCCGACCAAGAACCTGGATTTGCCGATCTCCCCGCGAACAAGGGCCGCGAGGGTATGGCATACCTCACGCACATCATCGATAACTATGATCAATTGGCCGATATCACCGTGTTCATGCACGGCGGTGATAGCCAGTGGCATAATGATGTCAGGAACCTGGATTCGCCGTCATTGCTCCGTCGACTCAGTCTTCGTGCGGTGGAGCGCCTGGGTTACGCTAATCTGCGCTGCCACCATCGCCCGGGCTGCCCGGTGGCCGTGCGACCGTTTGACCCTGATATGACGTCCGACCACAACATTGTCTACCGCAACTTCACCAGAATTTATGCCGACCTTTTTCGTGTGCCTCCGGAGCAGACCCCTGCGGAAATTGGTGGTGTGTGCTGTGGCCAATTTGCGCTCACCCGCGAGCGCATCCGGAGCCGACCGAAAGAGGACTACACGCGGATGCGCGATTGGGCCATCTCCACGGAATTGGATAATTTCTCGGTTGGGTCTGTCTTTGAGATGCTGTGGCATATTATCTTTTTAGAAGGACCGATTGCGTACGTGATGTCTCTCGCTGGCTGACTGGCTGGAAAGCCGTGCTAACAATCTCACGACTTGGCAGATGTCCAGATACTCAGCAGTGCTACTGTGAACTCTATGATCTGTGCGACGAAACGTTCGACGACCCGTGAGTGGAAATAACCCCGGATTCTGTAAGGGGCCATTGAGTGAGACGCTGTGGTCTCCTTTATCGCCGTAACCTCGGGGATCTGCCGAATCAGGTAATAGTCGCCGCAAGGATTCAACGCCGCAATTCTAGCCTTGTGCCTACACCCCCTATGGCAGCCGCGCATCAACATCAGAGGTGAAATGCGACATGCAGCTTTGATTCGCGAATCCCGTACAATGAGCTTGGCATGTTTTGATTCGGGCACTGTGACTGTATAGGAACCAGCGCCACCACGGCTCGAACCGCATCCGCTGTCATGTTCGCGGCCCGGTCCCGCGATTATGGCCTTGCCAGAGATGCACAGTCTGGATGACCTGCCTCGTTCTGGCTCGCATAATTTACTGGCCGGACAAAATGAGGACCAACAACTCCTTCCCAGCAGTTGGGAATGACGCTGTTTCGACCCAGCTCGATCATTTCGTCCACGGCCAGGCAGAATCTTCATCCCAGCCGAGGCAGCGATCGTAACAGCAATTCTAGGCGCGGCAGTGAGTCGTCTCAGGCCGGCTAGCCAGCCATCACCACTAAACCCGCCCCTTGCCGCTATCCAAGGGGACTGGAGCTGGCGTTGGAAGCATCTCTTTGTTGATCCGGGGACAGACGAACCATATGAACTCCAAGACGATAGCGCCACGCTGACGCGCATCGTGTTTCTTCGAATCGTGGCTCTTGTCATCATCACATCGTGAGCTACGAGGTATTCTGTGCTCTAAGCTTGCATATCTTACTGACACTGATGCCCAAGAGCAATTGTTTTCGGTGCAATCGGAAAGAGTTATGATATCATCTCTCTCACGGTCGCAAATAGAATCCTTGTTGATGAAAAGATGCCCAGCTCGCCGTCATTGGTGTGGTCAACATTGCTTGCAGCTTCTCACCCAGGGCGCTCTTCAGCACAGTTTCACACCGTTGATAACCCGTTGGATGACTGACAAGGGGCAGGAGGGAGCCTGATGGACTTTGAGCTGTTCGAAGAGCACGAAAGTCCCTGGGTTGCCATTACCACTTCCACCTCTACCTTGTAAGCAACCATCACTCTCACTATCGGGCCCATTACCAATACCACCTTCTCGCACCCCACTACCTTCCGCGGCGCCACCTGCCACCTCGCGATCCAGCAAGCCTAGATCTCGCTCAACCAGTGGCTCTACTCCGGCGCCAGCAACCACGCCTACACCGTCGACTACGGCGGGAACAACCCCAACCCGCCCCTTGCCCTCCTTCCCTAGGCTAGCACGCTCCAGGCGGACATCTCCATCGCCGCCGAACCCAGCAGCTAGTCCACGGCCATCCTCTCCAACCTCCGATCTTTCACCTCCGACCCTGCCCTTCTCAACCTCACCTCGTTAGCGCTCACGCTAGCGGACGACCTCGTCAGTCTGAACTGCGGGTACACACGCCTGGACGGGCTAGCCGCTGTCGTGGCGATGGTCTTCACGGTATAATCACCTCGTTCGACTGTACATACTCCGCTCTATCTTCTGATTTTCATGGTAATAGCACGGCGCAAACCCTGCAGGATCCCGTGCGCTGGCAGCTGTACGGTTCCGCGCCGCGACTGCCCTGGGAATGGGCGATCGCCGTCGTGCTGGTGGTGGCTGTTGCGGTGCATGTGGTGGATCGCGGGGTTTGAGGGGAAGGATTCGGTTTGAGTGTGGATGGGATGATGGCTGTGGCGGTGGCTTCTGCTGCTTTCAGGGGGGCCGGTCGAAGGATGGACCGAGAGAGACGCGGTCTGTCTTTCGAGAAGAGAAGCTTGATGACTTGGAGGAGCAGGAAGCGGAGGGTGAAGGTGAAGGTCGTGTTGTTGAAGGCCGGGGAGGATGTGGGTGATGGACGCTATGTGAAGTTGCGACGGGTGAGGAAAGTACATACAGAGCTGTGGAGTGAGTTGGTCCTGCTTGATGTACGGATGTAGGATATAATCCGGACGAATAAGCCAAGCTTATAGTTGATTAGACGAGGCTAGCAAGTTCGAAACTTGTCCAGATATTAGATGGTAGAGTGTATACGAACCCCGTACGCAGAATTTGAAATTGACTATACGCACCACTGAACACAAGAAGATAAGAAGTATCCTCAACTATACCATGACAATCATGGATGGTTTAGAAGGTTCCCCACCGAACCCTAATAACCCATCAGCTCGGTAGAGTAATCTCTATAAACAACCTTCCACGACCGTAACCAGAACACAGTGGAAAGGGGAATTAATTAAGTACTATAGTGTGATCAAGCGAACGTACTGTAAGTAACAAACCAAGGGTCAACAACCCATCGAACCATCCAACAGCCAACCCCCGCAAACCTAGCTTCCCTTCCATCCCTGGTTCCATCTATACACCACCACCACCGCAACCACCACCACAATCACAGAACCAGTTCCACCCACCACCATCATCACAAAGCCATTATCCATCAACCATTAACATCAACATTATCATGAAAAGCAATAACGTCAAACAAAACCCCTTCAACCGGCCCACACACTGGAGGGTATGCATCCAGATATCAGACATAGAAACATGGCCGGGAGATTAAACCAGTGTACGTCGGCCGGTCAGGGCGTCCTACCCTCACGGGTAAGAAGAAAGCAAGAAACAAAACATGGTATCATAAGTCGCACGTCCTCTTCGGGGACCAGATGCCCTCGGAGGGGAGAGGTTTATATGGTCTGGCTGTCTGCATCCCCATCCCAGCACCGAGTGTAATAGGACAGACAGCCAGACAAACCCCCCCACGAATCATCATATCAACAACCATCATCATCATCATCAGCCCCCGTCTCTACAGCCCCCTCAACCGAAGGAGCCAAGAGAGACTCGACAGCTTAAGCCGTAGCAGCAACAGGCGCATCCGCCGGTCCGCCGTGCGCACCACCCGTGTTCTTCTCGCGGATAGGGCCGGCGTTCTCGCGCCGATAAGCCCAGAGGGCAGCGACTTCGAGGAAGATAGCGAAGAAGGTGAAAATACTATTTCCTCCGTTGTTAGCCTCGTCCAAAAAAAAAGACGCACCCAGACAGGAACGGTGGGGTTGGTTAGACAACGTACAAAGTCAAAAAGATAAAGGCCTCGTTGGCTTTCTTCAGTGCGCAAGAGGCGCCGGGAGGGGCGTTGGCGCCGCAGTTGTGCCAGTCGTAGTCTTGGGCGGCGAAGATGAAGGAGGTGAGCCACCTTTACCCTTGTGGTTAGTGATTGTTCATGTGCGTTTGGGAAAATGAGGAAAAGGACGTACAGGTAGGAGAAGATCACGTCGATGGCGAGGACGAATTTGCTGAGGGCGTGGGGCATGAAGGGGGAGATGAAGGCAGGGAGGAAGAAAACGACGGAGATGGTGGACTGATTATGATGCGTCAGTAAGAAAGGTCCCTGTTTAGAGTCAGGGGGGGATGAGGAGGATGCATACAATAACTTCATCGTAGATGATGTGTTGGCCGCGAGGACCCCGGTGGATGAAGTAGGAGGTGATGCCCATCACAATGACCGCACTGGCCCATTGCATGAACCGAGTGAGCAGCTGCAGCGGTCGCGCCACGGTGGTGGAGAGCAACATGGTTGAAATGAAGGATACTAAGTAGTGTAGACACGAGAGAGATAAGAAGGGGTTTGGTAAGTATGGGAAGTATAAAAATCGCCGGCGGGTGGAAGAGCAAAGAGCAAGAGAGTCCTCTCTGTAAAAGCTTTGATTCTTTCTTGTTGATTTCTGATCGATTACAACTCGACATCCGAACCAGGACAGGGTTTTATATATTTGAATGGGAGGGGGGAAAGCGTAGTATGGTTTATCCCTCGTCAAGGCCCGAGTTCAGCACCAGCGTATCCTTTACGTCAGAGGCCTTTCTCAGCCGTTGCAGAGTTTATTGCTTTTTTTTTTGATATATTTTTTTTGTTTCTTATGGCACACTTTCATCCCATCTTTGGAATTTGGCCCCGAACAGACCAAATGCCGAGAGGACCGTGATTGAAAATTGATGGTGGGAAGGGAACACAGTGAGGAAGCGGGTTGGCTCCCCCAGATGCGTCATAGTTTCCTTTGCATGAAGTCAGTTAATCCCGAGCTTGGTCCAGGCTTTTTTTTTGCATGAGGTGATGCTTTTTTCTGTCTGTCTAATCAGAAAGTTTGTTAGGAAGCTGCTAGTTGCATCCATAGCTCGCTAGTTGGCTCAGGTCGACGGGATTCTGGTCGAGCACCTCGTTGGGCACAGGCCTATCGATGCTTGATAGGGAATATCACACCTCAGCTCTGCATGAAGAGCCCGACGCGGGAAGGCTTGGCATTGGACGATTGGCGTCGTAGCAGTCGATGATCTGCGCCAGAGATGGACTGATTTGTGGTGCAAGGGAGGAGGAGGAGGAGGAGGAGAGGGGGTTGCGTGATGATGAAGAAAGATGAACTAAACTAATGAGGAACTAAACTTACCGAATGGCCTGTCATCAGGGCTTGGCATCCGGCATCCGGTACCGATGGTAACCTGACCGTCACGGTCTGGCCGCTCTTTCCGCTGGCCAGACTCTTTTTCTCTCTACTACGAGTCTCCGTAGAGTAACTACACCAAATACACAGTATAAACTGACTCACAAAGTAAGTTGATGAGAGCAGAGAGATGACAGAAGACCAAGTGCGAAACTCACCTACAGCATAACAAGAACAACAACCATCACTGAACCCCAACAGCAGCCCCCCGACCACGCCACATCCATCGTGCAACCAGGAAATGAAATCCTCCCTCCATCGAAGCTTCGAGCTTCGCCGAACGGCGCTGCAGATCCTCCCGGATGCCTCCGGCAGCAACCAGAATGATTTCATTCATGGTCAACTGACTCAATAGTTGATACTCTGTGCAATATAGACCCACAAGGCTGATACGGAACTTTCATTTGGACCTTTCGTGTTTGCATTCTCATTTTTGGGACCTGGGGGTCTAGCGAACCAAACTATATGCCCTTATTGTAAAGTATGTATACATACAATACAGGTTCTGGACCACTATCACCACCATCACCACCATCACCCATGCAGAGGCAGGTAGTGCCCGAACCGATATGTCCAGCCAGCCCGGGGTGGTCGATCTATCGCTTCAGCGTGACGTTGACACATTATTGTGTAGTTAACAGGTCATAGTAACTATCACCCATCTCTCTTCTCCTACCTACCCAGTCAGTATCTAAACAATATTGTGGGAAAAGATCAACAATTACATTCTCCGCTCCACAAAAAAAAAAAAAAAAAAAAAAAAAAAAAAAAAAAAAAAAAAAAAAAA